AGTGATTTGATCTACATGTATACTGTAATGTGAGAAGCAGTTTGTAAAGTTACATCTTTAGGACAGTTGGAACCTATATGTGTGATGCTGCTGACTCCTGAAAAGTGTTTGGCATTTTTGTGATTGTCTAATCTCCAAGATTGTATTTTTTGCCATAATTCTGTAATTTATCTTTACTGTAGATTGGTATAAAAGTAGTTAAATTGTCCATACACTCAGTGTAGAGCTCTGGTTGCTGTCAGACGTGGTACTGACTTAAGAGCCCTTGTAATGTCTAATACATTCTGTTCTAAGACATTTAGAGCGGTGTGCACCACATGAAACAGTGTCACATGGTGGCATGATGGCTTCAGATTAGGGCACTTTAAGTGTGGAGTTTGCATGCTCTCCCCATGCTCACTCGGTTTCTCTAAAAATGGTTCTGGTTTGCTCTTGCCTCCTAAGCACATGCTGTCAGGGTTAATTGGTGACCCTGAATTGTGCTGGTGCTCTGGACTGGTGTCCCTTCCTGGGTCTCGAGCTGCCCTGTGCCCTGTGCCCGCCTGGGTCTCTCTCCAGGAAAGAACAGGGTGAAACGAATAATGAATCATCCCAGGCAATGCCAGACACTGATTGCACAGGTGTGAGTGTAGTCAAGTTGTACTGCCAGTGGTATAAGCAGATTCACAGGCTAATTTTAGGTGTTGGAGTTCTAGTCATTTATAGCTGGAGAGCTCCAGTCAGGGTTGGTCTATTCATAGTTTTAAATGCCTGACATTCCGGTTTGAAATGTTCCCCTGGGGCTACCATAAAACTCAAGCACATACTTGCAGAGGATCTCTTGCAGGCACAGCCCACGTTACATCGCACCTTGCTATCAAGTAGAGGACTGATTTGTTAAGCGTGACTTCGGGGCAGAAAAATGTCCTCGCTTCAGATGCAGCAGTTCAGACGAGATTCTGTTTCCAGTAAGAACAGGTTGAAATAATGATCAACACCTGGACCAAACACCAAAAAAGCTGTTCTCCACAGTGTCCTGCTCCGTCTCGAAATACTGTTACCATTTGGTATACTCTGCTTCATATTTTTATTAGCGTGGATATTTCAGAATTTGCTCCCCACATCATTTTTTGTATTAAAAAATAAGCAATATAGTAAATTGGAATTTAAAAGTCTTTATTTCAGATTACAAATGGTAGTAGATACCAGGCATTTATGCTGAACTGGAGCCTGTTTGTTTAAAAAACAAGTCTAAGAGTACCTATTTTTAAAATAAAGACCTGATTCAGAGGGAAACAATACTATCTCAGAGATCTCTCATGTCATCTTTCACAGTGTGGTACATTTGACATTGTTTGACTCAGTCCAAGAAACTGTAGCGAACTCTGCAAACACATACAGTATAGTGGTTTAGCAGTTACACACAATCACTGCTGAGGCGCTGCATGTTTTTAACTGTCGAACACGTGCCGTTGAAAACTGGGGTATGACGTTGATTCAGCTCAATAAGAGGTGCTGAAGTGGATACCACCTACTTCATCAATGTATCATTCATATTCCGCACTGATCTCTGCCTGTTGAAATCAGCTCTGCTTTCTGAACTGGGAATCAGTTTTGTAATTTCTGTTTTCAAAAGTGTTTTCAGAGCAACCTCTGACCTACATAGAACAACGCTGACGAACTGAAGCCTGAAAAAAAAAAAAAAAGATTGTAAAAAGCAGAAAAGTAGAAATCAGTTCTGGTGAGGCAGAAGAAAGTAGCTAATTGGAGCTCTGATTGTCAGCTCATGTTATAGACTGAGGTCATTGTACATTTTTATCAAAAGGCTTTTGAGTCCCAGCTGAACTATCGCACAGTAATGTGGGTCACTGCCGCCCGCGTGAACTCCTGTGGGAATATGTAAATACGCTGTGCATCAAAGCTTATTCTGGATTCGCCCCAAACATCTGTGCTGCTTCTTTTGTGGCGATCCGGCAGATTTTCATTCGGTTGAGCCCTTCTGTGGGCTGCCCTAATTACATGCAACAGGCACAGTATAAATAAATCGGATCCATCCGTCTGACATGAGCGCTCCGTTATTGCACATTTTAGGGAACGTTTTGGATTTTTATTTCTTCCTGGTTTCTCCTTGCCCCTGCTGGGTCAGCGGGTTGGAGAGAAAGCTCGACTGTTCTTTCTCGTTCTGCCTCTGGAAGGCCCTTGTTCTGTGTGAGTCCGGCTTGTTTCTCTGGTCCGCTCAGACAAAGCACAGACCCCCTCCGCCGGGGCCCTTGGCCTGTGGCTGTTTTAAGGAACCAGAGGGCCTTTTGAAATGCTTTTTTTTCCTTTTACACCGCGTGAGAGTTGACAACCTGGACAGTTTCTACTTTACATCTTGTGTACGACTCTCTTTCATCCGAACTGGAGCGTCGGACCAAAAGAATTGGAAAATGAGTTGGGGTGACAACAGGACAACCCCCCCAACCCCCTTTTGGATCGTTTTGCATCTCGGAGCACAAACGCGACCTGCTTTCCGTGTCCTGCACGTGCCAGCCAGCGCCGAAGACCCGCCGATCTCTGCTGGGGAGTTGCTAAGCCGCTCCTAAGCCTTGCATGTCCCATCGGAAGAGCAGCGCGATGAGCTGCTGGAATGGATGGGCTCGTTTTCGCCATGCTTTGTCGCTGGACAGACGCCCCGCCTGTCAAGGAAGAGTAGGAGCCAAACATGTTTAGCCTTTGATGTGATCAATTGATTCTACATCCGCTTGCGGAGGTGCTTATCGGAACATACTCAGTGTTTACACAAAGCATTCTTTTCTTCTGCTGTTCCTGTTTACACAGCTGTTCAAATAATTGATATAATGTGATTAAGGACCAAGTCACTGCTTTATGATTTGAAGAGCACAACGGCGTCTCTTCATGTGCTTGTGTGGATTTAGGTTCATGGGCTGGACAAGTCTAACTTTGAGCATCGTGGTGTGTGGTACAGTAGTTAGCACTGCTGCCTCATAGCTCGTGGGTCCTGGATTCGTTTCTGGCCTGGGGCTGGACTATTATATCTGTGGCCACATGGATTTCTTTCAGGTTTCCTACCAAGAGAGGCTTGGTGGATTAATTGGTGTCTCTAAATTGCCCCCCCCACGTGTGTAATTGTGTGATGGGTTGTCATCCTATCCAGGGTGCACTGTGCTTTGAGCCCTGTGCGAGGCAGGGTAGGCTCTGGTAGACAGCAATGCTCTGAGCATAAAGAGCTTTTTTTCCGAATGGATGGTCTTTATTTTACAGTACTGTTTGAGAGTGAACTTTAAGGTTTTATATAAGCCTTTTAATGTTTAATAATAGCTTATAGCTTTTCTTGTCAGGATCCCCAAATGGTTTAATCTAATGTGTACGGTTTCCAAAAATGTGCCTTCCAGTGGGTAGTTTTACATAATAAATGTAAATTTTTTCAGAAAGGACTAGTACATATCTGCTGCTTAAGAGTCATCAGCGAACAGGGCCTTGTAACCTTTAGCACAGATGCACCCTGCTTATACAGCCATTGGCGTATGGCTGAAGAAGGGTCCCGCTCCATAAAGGGATGAAGTGACCTGCACACACAGCTAGGAGAGTCGTCTGTCTTCTCCTCTGCTGGCATCAGTGCGGAGCAGCCGGGGGAGGGGCCTCACAGGCAGAGCACATTCACAGCTGAGCTCTCAGAAAGCAGAGTGACCCCGTGTTGCTGGAAGCACCAGCGCTCAGCCTCCGGGTGATGCTCAACAACAGGCTTTTAACAGGAGCAAAAAAAAAAAAGTAACGGGAAAAGAACAGAGGCTAAGACTAACAGTGTTTGCTTTTGGAAACTTTGTACTTAACTAAATTTAGTGTTTTTGATTGTTTGCACACTTTACAGTGTTGGGTGTTCCTTGAATTGGGACATCTAAGGGTATGGGACTCGCATCTGTGGAGTGCTCTTATGCAGCGGGGATTACCAGTCATGCTAAGTTAGCGAAAACAGTCCTCCTAAATAGAAGCAAATGTCTCGCTTTATAGTCAGAAGCTTTCTGCCAAGTATTTCTCTTAGGTCTGTGCTTGGGTCCTTTTCAGGAAAGCCAGATTTTGGTTTAAAGACACATTTATCCTTTACCAGCCCACCATTAAAGGACATATCAGTTGCACAGAAATCAGACCCGGGTTTGGATGGGAGATGCTTTGTGCCAGCATGTGAGCACGCTTGAGAGAAAGTTTGCCCTGCAATACCTTGAGAACAGATTCTGCTTGGGTTGGCTCAGGAGTTTGCTGAGTGTACACTCTGAGTAATGAGGAGAACTCTACACTACTCAACAGTTCACTGTATCTTTGTGAGGACACCTTCCAGGGTGTCTTACTGAGCTGTAAGGTCATACCAAGGGAATTTCTACTTATTGTTTATTGCAGGTTATAGTTTACGTGGTGTGAATTAGAGAGGGAGAGATGGGAAATATTTAGAGTCTCTAGTGTCTGTTTTTTTCCCTGGCATCTAAAATTTCAGTAAGTTTATTGTACTTTGTATTATACACATTTATATATATATACTTTTTTTTAGTTAATAATGCTTTAACTTTATAACCAAGAGGCATCACCGTTTATTGTGACAACATATCACTTCTGTAGAGAACACAGTCCTTTCCTTTGAAGTTTTGTTTTTGCAGTCCATAGTTGTTCCTTATGTACTCCCTGCGAAGCCAAGAAATGACTTCCAGTCTCAAATCCTCATGGAGGTTGTTGCATATCAGAAGAAGAAGCCCATCACTGGAGATGTGTTCATGCAGTGTTGGCAGGAAATTGTTCATTTTGCCATGAAGCAACTTGTCTTCTCCTGTGTTTTTCTATGTTCATACTTACTGTGTTCACAATAGGCTGATTTTTTTTTCACTCACTTATCATTCAGTGTAACATAATGTAACCTATGTAGATACTACTGTAGGAGGGACCCTTTTTATTGAGCGGATAAGCAAAAAGAGAATTCTGAAGAAACTAATCAACCTACATTTGGTGATGAGTATATTCTTCTTGTTCCTCAGAAGCACGATCAGGGACAGGTCATGCTGGATCTTGTCTTCAAGCATCTAGAACTCACAGAAAGAGACTACTTCGGATTACAGCTCGCAGATGACTCTTCTGACAGCCCCGTGAGTTGTTCTTCATCATCCGTTTCACAAAAGCCGAGCATTTCAAATGTGAATTGCCTGTCAGCTGAGCTGCATTTAAGACTGAATTCATTGTTCTCTGCTACAAGTTGGCATTCAGATGTTACCTCACTTTCTCTACATCTTTGTCAGCAAGGAGGCATAATAGAACACCCAGTAAAAATCATGTCACTTGTGTTTACACCACCTATTTAACTGGAGTTGTTACAACAGGTGTAGCTTTCCTTTTGGAAAGCCTTTCATTTGCAATGGAGGGGCGCCTGTCTATATACACAAGTGCAGCTCTATCTGAGGGCAGGGGGAACTACCCCGGGGAAGGGCAATGCCCGGGGCATTTCTCTCCTTCGCATTGCCAAGGGCTCTGCGTCGTCTGCATGCCTAAAAGGCAATAAAATGGCCTTCGTGTCTGGTAACCAGTGTTGGGAAGAGATTCCGCTCCATATCTGGAGAGCTTTTGAATTCGGCGGATTTACCTGCAATTGTGCTCCAAAAGCATCCTAGGAATCTTTTAAGAAACCCAAAAGGCTCCCCAGGAGGGATGGCGTGTACATCGGCCGATACGTTTGACATGTCTTCACTAATTCAGAAATCCCCTTGGCCTTAATTTCCTCATACAGGTCTAATTTGTCCGTTTTTTTTAAAAGGGGGTTTGGTTTGGGTTCACTGGGGCTGATGTGCTGCGCTGGGCTGCCTCGCACTGGGTCAGCGTGGCCAGGACTGGGAATTATGGAAGCGACTGCATCCTTGAGATTGGGCAGGAGGGCGGGTTTTGATACTGCAGGACCAGGGCTTTGGGTTATACTCACTTTCCTCATCAATGTTTTGCAGAGATGGCTGGATCCAAACAAACCCATTAGAAAGCAGTTAAAAAGTAAGTGAAATCAGTCTTTTGGTCAGTTTGTGTTCGTTTTTGTTTTTTTCAGCTAAACCGATTTAAAATCTTTTGGTTTTTAGCTTCATGTGTGTTTTGGTGTCTTTTTTTTTTCTTCTCATGGCAGGGGGATCTCCACATAATTTGAATTTCCGAGTCAAATTCTTTGTAAGCGACCCGAACAAGCTCCAGGAAGAGTACACAAGGTAAGCTGTAGTGACCATTCTGCTGCGCAGCAGAGACACTGTGCATGTTCGGCACCTGAAGGGATGAAAGAGAAGTCTTTAGCAAGTACAGAAGTTAATCATACTGGGTTGTTTGTGTGAGTATATACTGGAGAAAGAACATATAACATATAAAGAACATATACTTAACTGGATTAGTTCCTAGATAAGTTATCCCTGAAGCTGTTCAGCTTCATCCAGAAAGTACTTTCCAAAACGAGGTGTGAGTGAGCCTTCCTGCAGAGCTCCCTGGGTTGAATTTCCTGTGCAGTGTAGTGGATATATTCCCCTGAATGGGTGGTGTCATGCGCTGTGGGTGACGGTGATAAAACGGGGTCTTATCACATGTAAATCTCCTGTTACACCAAGTTTCAGCAGGTCTCGAAGAGATCGACTCTATCCGGCAGCTGGGATTGCTGTACCCAGCTTTTCTATTCCTGCATAATGCAGTATAGTGCAATAGTACATTCTCCCTACCCCCCTCACAGGCGCCCTGTCAATACGTTCGATCTTGTTTTGTGTTCGCCCATCTGCACACATGGGGTGATGGCACAATACTGTATTGATTTTGGTTTTATCTGTTGTGGTCTACCTGTAGAAGACCGGCACGAGTCAAGGCGCGCTCTGTTGGCAGTCTTGGGCAGTCGAGTGTGCTCCACATGGCTTATAAATTGCTGCAGCTGAATGACCTTCTAATGGCTTCTGATGCATTGAACCACAAGTGTTCAACAAGATTTCTTAACCTAAGAAAAAAAAACCGGGTGTTTTAAAATCAATTGTATTTCTGCTTTTTCGGGTGATTTATGGCTGTTAACATTTTAAGTTAACATGCCAATTTTTATTTTTGTTTTAGCGGTTCACAGAATTTGAAATATTTTAAAAATATCGCGTACTATCAAAAGCTAATATGTAGCCATTTACTTCTGATCTTTTGTGAGCCCCCTGAGATTTATGTTGGATCGTCCACTTACATATACAGGCATTACACTGACGATGAGAATAGAAATTCACTACTGATCACGGTTTCCTAGCATCTGGAGCAGATGGACAATTCCTGTTCGTGAAAATGCGCTGTCATTCTAAAACCACTACATTTTTGTCCAGAATAAAAACCCTTTATTTTTTCGGTAACCGTAGGTATGCTCTGTACAGTTTTGCTGGCAATGAAACAAGTATTGGATGTGTCCCACATTTTCAACAGCTGCTGAAGATTTGGTGAAAATAGCAGCATGTCCTATTTTAAGCATTAAGCTGTGAAAGCCCCCTCTTCGTTTGTACTAAAGTAGTCCCCTCCAGCCACACAGTATGACCTTTTCATTATCCAGGACCACTATGAACTAAAATTCTGAACCCCCATAAAGACAGTTCTCATTTACAAATGCAGCGCGTGGCTACCATTAGTCATTGATCTTGTGAAATAACATTTGGTTGCTTTAAGTTTAAAAAATGAGCATTCTAGCAGCTTGGGTTAGACTTTTTTGCAGAAAAGGATGTTGTTGTGTTTTATCTTATTTTGTCTTTTATTTATGGCTATTTTAAGATTGTGTAAAAATAAAGTATATAGCGTCATTCTGCTTATGCATGTCTCTGGTTTTGCCCTGTGAGGTTTTGTGGGCAAGAGAAGTTGTCAGGAGGAAATGGGAGTTTGTTTGTCCCAGATTTCTGCAGTGGTTCACTGTATGCCTTAGCTTCTCAGAAAAAGCAATACATCTTCTCATGGAGATCTAAACAAGACGCTTTCCAGTAACTATACCAGTACTTTGTTCACACCAGTATTGCGATATTAGGTAAGATAATTCTGCATTATCATCAAAACCTGGTCTGTTTTAAGGTAACAATAACAAACATTGTGGTGACAACAGTTAAAGGATTACCAGTCTTAAATTATTCGAGGTTTCATTTTTCTGGCATTTTTGACAAACAAGTGTAACATTATCAAAGCACTCCTCTGCTGTGAGTTAATTGTGAAACAATACCTGCCAGTCATCTTTTGAGAATCCAGTTTTGTCTTGAAATTCAAGTAGGGTGTTTTTTCTTCAATAGGTACCAGTATTTTCTGCAACTCAAGCAAGACATACTCACTGGAAGGTAAGTCTAATTAAAATAGAGATTTGATTTCCTTAGATCTGCATGAAATGAATTGCAGAATCGTCTTTGTGTTGTGGCTCAACAATGCAAGGGCTGAAGCTGTTTTTATGGTTGAGCAGTATGGATGCAGTATGATGATATTCTGATTTATTTTTTCTTTTTCTTGTTAAGGTTACCTTGTCCATACAATACTGCAGTCCTGCTTGCATCATATGCTGTTCAGTGTAAGTACAAACAAATGAAAGAAATAGTTTTGTTTCGGTTGCACAGGTGCGTTTATAATGACGCTCTGTGCCTGCAATATAAGTAGTTTTTCTTCATTACTGCATGTATATGTCTTCCTCAGACATACAGTACAGTAGGTTACTTGAACAGCTGTAGGTTCATTTTTTTTCTAACACGAGTAACAGCCCCTAATCACAAAAGTATTTTGTAACCTTTTGGACTTTTGTCCCTGAAGTTTTTTAGAAACTCCTTCATTTGTAATTGAAGGTAGAATTCTCTTCTTTTTTCTTTTAATGAACCACTTTTCTAATGTTCAGATTCATTAAAAACTACTGCATTTACTTGCTAGATTTCTGTGGCCAAACATCAAGCCAAAATAGATTGACTTAACTGTTGTCGTTTGAATACAGCAGTGTTTCTTTAATTAACCACTTAACCACTGCATCTGTTTTGGGTTTTTTGTTTTTGGACTGAATGCCAGCATCCTCTACAGGAGAGGAAGCAGATTTCAGCTTGTGGAAGTTGAAAGCTGGAGTGGTTTGTTCAGATTATCTGTAGGTCTAGTGTGTACAAGATGCTCATATTTAAAGAAGTTCATTGAAGAATTCCATTGCCGATTTCAGTTAATTACAAAAATCTGCGTGTCATAGTTTTTATGAGGAAGGGTACTTTGACCACTCACAGTGCTGATCATTATAAAATTCTTCTTGGGTATATAATGCACATTTCATACTGCACAGCATGCAAGGAGTGGTCAGCAACAGTGAACATTGTATAACTTTTGGGTCAGCATTAATCACACATTGTGTACATGTAAGATTAAAGCTTATGTACACCTGCCTAAAAGCTCCAACATGCCCAGCACTGGAAAGCTGTCTGTTCTCCTTTAAATACTCTTTGACTGATTACCTCCAAACTGGTTAATATCAACTTAGTTTGTCCCTTGAAATACTGAGATTAGATGTGTGCATTTTCTTTGGTTTTATCCTCATTTTCTCTTCTAAGATATCATTTATCCAGGCATTTATCAGTGTAAAAATAATTCTCCCTTAATCTTTCTACCACTGGTGTGCACATATATCTGAGATGTGATGTGTTATGTGATTCAGTTTGCTTTAATCCATTTAACCACAGCAATTTGTAAAAAGAAAAAAAACTCTTTTAGTATATTTAGTATACTGTATATTCAAAGCCAAATGTTCTGTAGCTCCTTTGTTGTAATGTACAAACTTGTTTAGGTTCTTTGTTTTGGAAATCTTGTAAAATGTTTGATTGAACATTTCAAAATAACACTTGCCTTCCTTTTGGCTGAAATGGATATGTGCTGTCTTTAATAGGTTCCTACTTTTTAGGCTTTACTTAGGAAAAGATTTTAGGACAGAAAATAGATTTTCATTTTGCCTTTTTCTTTATCAGTCTCTTATTTCTTTAACACCATCTGCTTTTTCAGCTGAACTGGGAGACTACAACCATTCAGAGCACTTATCAGGCTACCTCTCCAATTACTGCTTCATCCCAGGGCCACCACCAGACTTTGAAAAAGAGATTGCCAAGCAACATCAGCAACACAAGTATGACGCAGTGTGTTTCGCAGTGTCAGTTGCACGTCTTGTTTTGTTCCTGTAACGCGTACCATCAATGCAGTAAGAAAGACGGTGCACCCAGAGCTTGAGCTTAAATTAATTGTTTTTGAAAACCTTTAGCTTTCTTTAAATATTGTGTATGAATGTTAGGAGTTCAACTGCTGCCATAGCCTTTGCTCAATCCTCCGAAGGCTCCCGAGTTCAGTGTGAAATTGCTGTTTTTTCTAATTTCCTAAGAATGGGAGGGGAGTGACTCAGTGCTGATGCAGTAAAAGATCACTGACATGTGTTTGGACCGTTTATGTAGAATGCTGATGCTCTGGATCCTTTTAAGGACATGAGAACCGTCACAAACATGAGGAGTCTGATCCCCCTCTCGCCTGATGGGGTGGTTAGTAGCTAATTGATCCGAGGTCCCGTCCAGCTGTGTCCTGCAGGACGCCGGGGTTTCAGCCTCAGCAGCGTGGCTGGGCAGCTTGTTCCACACTCCCAGGGCAGAGCTTTTGTTTTGCAACTCAGTCGGGACTTTGTGATCAGGCTGAGACTTTTTTTTTCTTCACCCACCTCCACCCCCCCCAACTTTGGAGGACTTATTTTTTTTATTTTTTATATATGTATTTTTTTATTTTATTTCTTTTTCACTCTCTCATTTAGTTTCTTATTAGACAGTATCAACAACAACAAAAAATTACAGTCACCAAAAAAAAACTTCCAACTAATATTCTTAACAATAAGTGCCATTCAAGTATGTCTCTAATGGGTCAGGCTGGGACTTAAGTCAGCGGACTGGTCTCTCCCCTTTCATCACTTTCCTAATGTGCAGTGAGTGACCTGTTTGTGGCTGGGACTTGTGTGGTTCAAACAGTTGTGTTAAATATTAAGGTGTGTGCTCTTCCATAGACACAGTTGGCATATCTTTTTGTTACAGGGGATTGTCTCCTGCAGACGCAGAATTCAATTATCTTAACACAGCACGTACGTTGGAGCTCTACGGAGTCGAATTGCACTATGCAAGGGTAAGGGTAAGACTTTTGTCAGATTGTGTGCACAGCCTGCAGATAGCACATTGTGCCACTGTTAGCAATCATGAATATATTGAAATAGCCTTCTAAGGCCACTGGCCTTTTTTCCTCCACGCACGGCTGGCTGTTGTGTTCTTCTGCCACATCATAAATAAACACCTCTCACGGTGTGTTCTGGGACGCCAGGCTTGACAGTTCCTTGACGATGTAACAAAAAGGTTTTAAAAGCTTGTAAAGTGTTAGCTGAAACAAATTTGTGACCACATAGATAGCGTAGAAGAGAACTAATTGTACCTTGAGCTGTAAGAAAGAAACTTCGAATGAGGGAAAGAACACTGACTTTGTGTCAGGGAAGGGATTAGGGAGGGTTACACCAAGAGACTGTTGCAGAGGTGACTGACAGACTGAAGTCAGTAGTGTGAATGTTTTCAGGTTACAGTTCTGGGAGAAATGTTTCTGCTGCTTGCTAACTGCGAGCAAAGCTGTGCAATGAGAGCCTTTGAGGTTTTCAAGCTTGTAGATGCCCCCGCAGTTGGAAATGACAATCTAATAGATGGAATAGAGAAACAGAGAAAACCCTTCAACATGGAGAGATAATTTTGTTAGAAAAACAATATTTGGACAGGAAATCTCCTAAGTCTGAAGGGTTTTATTGTAATCGTTACTTTCATAAATACGGAGAGGATGTGGGGCTTTACAGACTCTGATGTGTTCTGATCTAGCATTTGTTCAGTAATGTTTCTTAAAAAGACAAATCTCAAAGTGCAATGAAAGGCAGTAAGGTTGCGGAGATTAAGAAGGTACAATACATGTGCCCTCCAGAAAACATTCAGACTGGTGTCGTGTATCACCCGATTGGTCATAACGGAAGCAGCCCGCTATCGTTTCATGTACAGGCAGTGGACAAAACTTGAAAACACCTGGGTAAGTTAGGGACACCAGTTTAAAGCTAGGGCTTCCACACAGGTGTGGCTCGTGATCATTAAGCATATTTTTTTTTTTGTCAGTGCTTTGTCCCTCGTGCTTGTTTGGTAGTTTCTCTCGGCTCATTCTGCGTCTCTGGATCTCCACTGTGCTTCGCCTGCATTCTCCCATGCTTTGACCCAGCCTGTCTGGACTCGCTTAGGATTCTCACCTGCGCTACGAGCCTGGCTTGCTGCTTCAACCGTGCCCTTGGCTCTCCTGTTTGTGCTTTGGCTCCGTCTTTCTGGCCTTGATCTGTGCTTGCTTACGGCCATGGCCCCAGGCTTCTCTTTGCTGATAGTTTGCAACGTCGGCGTGCCCAACCGCTGTCATCAGCGTGCTCGCCTGTCTTTGCCTGCACTTGGATGCACTCCGCTGCCCCAGACCGCTGCACTCGGACAGTTAAGTGGAGCAGTGTAACGTTTGTGGGATTTTCTGGAACAACCCCTGCATCAGCGTTTTCTCAACCAGGTGTGAGCTGCTTGACTTTCTCCTGGAAGAAGGGTACCACATGCCTCTTGCAGAATTGCAGGCGCTGGTAGACTAATGCCACAGCCCACATAGGCTGTCCTGCCTGCACATGGTGGCCCGCCAACTTAAGTAACTTTTACATTGGTCTCTTCCATTTTTTGCCCACTGCCTGTACTTTATATTGTGTACTTCATTTTGTCTTTTGGAATACCTCTGATGGGGAGTTATTAATTTTTTGTCGCAAAGAGCAGGTGTTGAAATACCAGTTGCGTGAAGTGCTCAAAACCTCTCGTGATGTGTTTAATCTTTTCATGTATTGACACATCCGTTGACCGCATGAGCAATTAAAAGAGATTTTTCAGGATTTTGCTTGTGTCAGGCTGGTTAAAGTCTTAATCCTGCATTTGCTATAAATTCTTCCATTTTATTTCAGGATCAAAGTAACACTGAAATTTTAATTGGGGTGATGTCAGCAGGGATTGTGATATACAAGAACAGGGTACGAATCAACTACTTTTCATGGTGAGTGTTTCGCATCCGTTTTGTTTGTGTATTAATGAATAGAATGGTTGAAACAAACTTTTTTTCTTGCGCAAAAAATTAGCTCGTAGAACAGATATTGTTAAAAAATGCGTAAGCATTATAACGAAATTGACCTCTCCGTCTATTTTCTAGCTGCTTTTACCCCAGTTAAGCCTCATTGGGGAGCCAGAGCCTATCCTGGCAAGGCACGCTCTGGGCGTGACGCCAGTCCATAGCAGGGCACACACAGACAGGAACGTACACACTCATACCAGGGCTAATTTTCCTAGAAACCAATTGTGGGAGGAAAACTACAAGCACAGGGAGAGAACGTACAGATTCCAGGCAGGTAGCACTGCAGGGATTGAACCCAGGGCTTCAGCACTGCGAGATCATATCTCCAGGCAGCGTGGGTAACGTTCCTTTTTGCTGTGTGATTGGCTTTGGACGTTCAAACCAGTTAAAAGCCCCTTGAAATGCGGACAAACTGAACTATATTCTGCTAAAATGTATTTGAGCAAAGCTCATTTTCTAACCTGCCTTGTTTGGCCTTAATTGGAGAAAACAAGATTAATTGTTCCATGAGATGTGAGTATCTGCCCAAGAGCAGTTTTAAAATGACATGAATTCATGTCTTTTTGTTGTGGCAGTTAGAAGAGAGCATGGGACTTGAGTCTCCGACAGGGACTCTTCCTCAACACTCTTAGCAGATCCGTACGTCTGTTCAAGAGTGTTTCTGTATCTCTAATGAGGAGAATGTAGGTCTCATCCAAAGAGACAGATGTACTTGGTTTTACACCTGGAGCAAACTTGGCTTCATTTTTTTTAACCAAAGGATTTGAAACCACCTAATGTTATCACGATCAGAGGAAATTAAAAATACAAAAAAACGTTTTTTCTCTTTTGTGCATTTCTCCATGTTTTACCCAGTTAAAAAGCCAGTTATATCAGGTAAATGTTACAGTGGTGATTACGGTAACCATTTGATAAGCTGTGATGTGTCTTGATGCCCATGGAGCTATATTTGTTTGAGTTAGAAATGGGAAAAAAAGCTGCTTGAATTGCACATCATCTGATTTTATGAATTTGTCTCTTTGTATACATTGTTTTAGAGATACATTTTATTTTATCCAACAATTTTGGAAATACATTTTATCCAAATCATCCAGTTGTGAAATATGCCAGTTGGTATTAGAAACTTGGATCTTTGTTTTGTAAACTTAATGTTTGGAAGCAATGACTTTAACCTGTTCTTTAACAATAGACCATTGTTATATCAGTGTGAACGAATAGAAAAGTCGTATTTAGACCAGTCCTGAGTTACGATTTGAATAAAAAGAAAGCTGGATCATTCAAATTGTGCAGAATTGCCCCAGCCACGCCAACGAAATGTTTAATGCTACATATTGAGTTTGTATTCTTGCATTAATGTTGAGTGAATAAAAAAAGCACTTAACAGTCTCATGAGTGTTAAAGAACATAAGACACATTTCAAGTCTTGTATACTTCCCATTAGAGTGATTGCAGAATCTTCTCATTTCTGACTTTAAGTAAAATGTGTGTGTTTTGTTTATACAGGTTGAAGATTGTAAAAATATCTTTCAAATGTAAACAGTTTTTTATTCAACTCAGAAGAGAATTGGTAAGTGTTTTCTTCTCGGTGTTAGCTTTACTTGATCACAGATGAGCGTGTTGCTCCACTCTGTCTCAAATGTCGCCCTTACATGTGCTGACCATGTGTGCACCACAGTTGAACAAGCCTGCTTTCGAAACTCCAAGCGTTGGGTTGCTCTCGCACCGCGCCACTAAATCTAATGCTCACTCAAGTGTTGTGATGTGTGTGTTTTCATCAGAATGCATTCTGCATTGTTCTGGGGTTTGATTGAGAATGATGTTGCTAGCAGTCTGGTCATTGTGGCTTAAATTAATCTACAGTTGACACATACAGGTATTGATGACAGCATCAGCACGAGCTTGGTTAATTTTAAAAATCCCTTGCTGTGTGTTTGTACATGTCCTGTGGTCTGTGTGTTTTTTATGCTGTATGTACGGTATGTGGGCAGTTTCCTAGTGGAATTTTTCTTCAGTGTTTTGGTGTTACAGCAGCATCTAGAATCTGTCAATGTTTTATATTTCTCCGTTCAGCATTGCTGATAAAAAAAAAAATATATGCTTGTTGTCAACCCAGACACTAAAGAGGAAAAGTAAAATATCTAGAAGGCATTTTTTTTAAACTCAAGCAGGACTACATTCTCTTTTGAAGGACATGAATGATTTGATGAAATAATACTGTATGTGATGAACCTTTAGAACTATTTTTTCAAAAGCAAAAGTCAGTGGTTTCCCCTTCATAATTTGCTCCGAAGCAGTAAAGTTCTGTCAGAGTGCCGGGCTGTCTTATAGCACTGTGAAAGGTCATTTTCAAAGAACTTATAACCATAAAGTTTTAATACACTTACAGATAGATTTAAGTATAACAATTGATGCTTTCTTAGATAGTTGAATATAGCTGATGAAACTGTGAAATAGCAGGGATGTGGTACATGTCTGACACGATGCACTTTTTGTGTTTTTCCCAATGATGAGTTAAAAACCTTCCACTTCTGTAAATACCTATTGACCTTTATTGGCTTAATCTTTGTTTGAATTATGAAGCTCGCAACCAGGCTTTGATTGGCAGCTTTTAAGACCTTTTCCATCGTCACAACAGGGTCTCCGCTGCCTTATATTAAATTGAGAGCTGGTGTCAGTGGTGTCTCCATAGAGACGTGAAACCAGAGTGTCTTCTTACAAGACAACTGGGTCTTCTCTCTTCCTGTCGTCATGCCACACTTTTTTAAAAATTAATTTTCCGGTAGTCCATCGGTAATGGGAACGGTAATCGGGCCGGTTGTTTTGAACGAGGAGGCCGGGCCTTGTTTGGCTCGGCTGCTAATGGCCGTGTCCCCGTGCTTCTCCTCCAGCACGACTCGAGAGAGACGCTGCTGGGGTTCAACATGGGGAACTACCGCGCCTGCAAGAACCTGTGGAAAGCATGTGTGGAGCACCACACCTTCTTCCGCCTGGACAGGCCCCTGCCCCCTCAGAAGAACTTTTTTGCACATTACTTCACGTTGGGTTCAAAGTTTCGGTACTGGTAAGTGTCTCTGTGCGTCAGATTTTCAAGTTGGCTCTCAGCTGTGGAGGGTTTTTGGTTTGATTTTTTTTTTTATTACTCATAGCGGTCATGTTGGAAAGGCAAGCTAAAAAGTGCAGTCCAGGTTACTCTTTTGGCGAGTTAATGTGACTTGCTGGTCTTCTGTCAGGGCGATGTCTCTGCTTCGTGCATGACCCTGACCTCATCCTCCTCGTGCTTTCTCCACGAAAGCTTGTGGTTTGGAGGGGCATGCCTGTATCTCACAGTGTACCCCCGCAGCACAGCTCGCCCGCCCGCGCGCACGCTCATCTGTGCGCAGTATATCTGACACGCGGGAGCAGCACCACTCATTTTGCAGGATGAGAATGAGGTTTAACCTTCGTGTATCAGGATGGATTTTTTGCACCTTTAAAAGGCATAACCCCAAACAGAACAAATGTTTTTTCAGAATGTTTTATTTAAAGATTTTATGGGTTAAGATGCATGAGCTTGCAGCCCCAGAGTAGACATGAGTGTTATGTTTTGACTTTTAAAATGTAATCTGTAAGCTGGCATCAGAGCTGCTAAAGCTAGGAACAGATTCATGGTGCATCGCTTGAAACCCTTAGAACCCAAAATTCCAAAACTGCAAGATTGTAATTAACGTTCCCAAGCTTTTGATCACGTTCATTTTTATCGTGAGTGCGTCATTAAGATGTCCCGTGACGTCCCTCCATGCGCTCCGGTTCTTTCACTTTTCCACTGACCCTTACGTGTATGTGGTGTGAAAGCACTAAACCCAGGACTGTAAGGCGAAGAGGGCTTGAAGACCTTTAGGAAGCGAGAAGCACAGCTGTTGCACTTCTACTTTCACTCACGGGTAGTTGTTGGTAAAAGTAGAGATGTGTTACATAGCCCGTATAATAAAAGGAAGAATAGAGGAAATCATCTGAGAGGAGCACACATGTGAAGAATTCACAGTGTCGGGGATGTGCTGAGATATTTTAAAGGGGGTTTTATAAAGTCTGCTTCTTGAAGATCATATGCTCAAGGTATCCCGGCAGACCCACAGAGCTGAGTAATGTTTGTTTGGCAGAATGCTTCCTTTGGATCCGTCGTCATGTGGCGGATGTTGAAGTTGATTTGAACTTGGTGTAACAAAACAAGGTTTTACCAAGCATCTTTACCATCCCTGTCCTTGTTGTTTCCAGCGGGAGGACAGAAGTACAGTCTGTGCAGTATGGCAAGGAGAAGGGGATCAAGGACAGAGTTTTTGCCAGGTAAAGTATAACCTGTCTGGATTAGGATGCACTGCGGAGTTTTTTTTTTGCAGTAATAGTAACATGGATTACTCCTCATGTCACATCTGATCACTTTCACCACTAAAGGAAAAAACTAGTTTTGAATGCAGAAATGCAGATTTTTGTGATTGATGTACAATGTCCAGGATTTGTATAGCACTCTGTACTGTGTACTCTGATCATATGTATAGTACAGTTCAAGGTGTGTGCTTGGAGATGTATGTATCAAGTATCGGACAAATCTCCAACTTCTCATCCTTCTGTATTCTGTGTTTGTAACTGAATTTTTTGTTTAAACAGACTAGAATGAGAAATTATGTGCTTTCTATAGAAAGTTTTTGCTATTAACATTTGTGCTCGTGCAAGAAAGCCCATAGTTAATGTGTGTGCACAAAGTCAAAACATCAGCGTGGAAAACGTTCTTCAAGCAGTTACTAACCTGCACGGTTTTGCCTGTCTGTATTAAGAGTGTTCTAAAGCAGTCCTGGCTATGTTAAAAGAAACCAATTAGGTCGTTCCATTGTAGAGCTTTGAGGAGCATAGACATGCATTGTGGTTAGGCCTTCTTAGAAGTCTCCAAGTTATACAGGAAACGCAAGCCGATATGAGAGGGAGGGACCTGCAGGTTCAAAAGTAATGTTAAAACACCACTTGACAAGCAGCAGAAAGCAAAGGCATTCTGAAGGCTGAACCTGTGTGTATGTATGATGCATGCTGCAGGTAATGACATTTAACAACCTAATGAAACAAGCAAAATGTGTTTCTTTGACGCAGGATGGAGTATATATTTAGTTGGAGTAGAGTGATGTGTCTATAGTGAATGTAAATGGTTGTTAGGAAGCCCGAGATGTGCTTTTTATTATAAATGAGCTGACGCTGGAACTTAATATTGTGTGCTAATGAAATAGGTTCCTACTAGAGGAAATAGGTGTTTTAATGTTTTGTTTTTGGGGAGGGGGGTGGCTGGGGAGAAGGTATACGACAGAAAACTCAGGGATTTTGACAGAATTCCGTCTCAGGATGGGGACGTTTGTTTTAATGACAACCTTGGAGTGCTGTGGTCAGCAGTATACTTTGCACGCGGTTTGCTTACGAACATAAGAGCATCTAATTTTGTATTTTCATGAGATAAAACTGTCTGGTATTCGGCTGTAACCAGCTAGTGCTGGAAGCTGTGACTGCTGCCAGTCTAGAGGGTAAAAATAGGTAACAAAAACTAATAGCTTGCAGAGGGTGGAGTTCCCTACATTTTCGTGGTAGCTAAGTGAAATGAAGAAAGACATCTTCTTCTGTCCCATTACATGCATCTTGTGTTTTTAAAGGCTGTCTGTCGAGGACTGCAGATTTCTAAAATAGCACAAGAATTAATCACGCTTGTATACATTAACGGTCCGAAGTGTGCTGACGATTTAGTAATGCTCACAAGGATTCCTGATCAGATCGTTCTTCCACGGCCACTGCACTGTGGAATTGTCTGTTTTGTTTACCCTTGTGCCGTTTCTGACTTTGTTAACCCTCTAATTAATCACCTCTAAGACATCTTTGTTTTGGAACACCGTAACACGTCTAACTATTCTTCTGGAGGGCTTTTCTTTAGCCTCAGGTCTGAAAAAGGACATTTTGCATTTGATTATCAGTGGAGATGATCTGTTTTCAGCATTGTTTTCAGCCGGGCTTTGTGTGTGTTGATGCAGACTGATTGAAGCAAGGTTTTAATATGTCATTGCTATGTGTCTTATGGCCTCCTGCTGTTAAAAAATCTGCATTGCAAAAAGAATTATGCTAAGGAAAAAAAAACAAGTGACCTTAAAGCATCTCCCTGGCTTCCTCTGTGTGTGACCCCAGATTAACAAATATCCTGCTGATGGTCAGCCAAAAACAAGAATTGTTGTTTTCTTCTCCCGCTGAACGTTTTACAGGACATGTTAAAATTGATTTTACAGGTCGCAGACTGAGAAAGGGGTCTTTTATACTGTTTGTGTGCATGTTTTCAAGTAATACTGAGGTCAGCCAAGGATAGCAGGGCTTTCCAGTACGGAGCAGGGAAGTGATTGCACATGGGTTGAAGAAACAAAATAGCTGTGGATTCTGTCGCATTCTTCTTTTCTTAGTGGGAAGCTGCTGCAACACTGATTGTTGTATTATTTGTCCAGAGATGAGGAAGAATAATTGACATTTTTCAGTTTTCAGTGCCGAAGGCTCGGGATAGAATCTGGTAGGGGTCAGAGGTCTGCTCTCGGGCCTGTGCCTCGGTCCACAAGCCCGCCGCGGTTCGCAGCTCTGGAGGAGTAGTAGTGGGCGATGTTCCCTTTGCCACATCCCGAAACCGGTCCCGGCTCCGCGCCTGTGCCGCGATGAGCCGCGGGACCGACGTTGAGATCACAGCCAGCCTCCCCTGCAGGTCTCCCAGCAAGCCGCTGGCCCGGAAGCTGATGAGTGGGATGGACTGGGAAACGATGAGCAGGAACTCTGACGAGCGGCTGGAGACCCAGAGCCTGCCGACGCGCTCCCCCCCTGGAACCCCCAACCAGTGAGCCCCTCGCCGGCGAGCCCTGCACCACACACCCACCAGCAAGCTCCCCTGGGGGACACCGGCGCGTTTTCATGAAAACCCCTCGACTTAACTACTTGGGCGCTGCAGGATTTGTTCTCGGACTTGATCATGAGTGATGTTCTCTGCACAGATTTGTTCTTAATTACTAGGAATGCAGAAAGAAAAGAAAATTTCCAAATTTCCAAATGAAAAAACCTTATCAGATTCACCCATTCCTGATCTGATTTGCAAATGGAGAAAGAGTTGACGTAGTGCTGGGTCTGAAAGTATTCGAAAACCGGCTTAACTTGCCACCTGTATTCAAGCCACTAAAAACTGGTGATCATTTCACTGTTACTTTTATTGAGTACTTTTACTCATCGTAATTTTGTCATGGGTGTCATTCAGAACATAAGAACGGTTACAGCAAGAGGAGCCATTGGGCCCAGTTAGCCTGGTAGTCAGTAGCTAATCGATCCCAGAATCTCATCCAGTCGTTTCTTGAAAGAAGTCGGAGTATTGGCTCCAGCAACGTTCTGGGCGTCTTGTTCCACACTTCCGCAAGTCTTTGGGTAAAGATGTGCTTTCTGTTCTCGGTTTTAAAAGCTCTTAAATTATCCATGTCAAATAAAAATGAGATTGAATGGTCTTGGTGGTGTTTAACCGCGCAGCGGGTGTGACTGTAATCTGCACTGTGTGCTGTCCTGCCTTCAGCAGGAACTCCATGTTTGCACAAGAAGGAACTCGCCTGCGACCTTCATCGGTGGGTCATCTGGTTGACCATGTGATCCACACGTCCCCGAGTCAAGTCTTTGCCAACCACAAGTCCCCTTCCTCTACGCAGGCCAACAGCATCAGCCTGGACTCCTCCCCGTAAGTTTCCAGTCTTCATCCGTCAGACTTTTAACGCCCGATTCTGACGCTGACAATCTTCCACTGTGGATTTTCTGCATGTCCATTTTCTTTCTGCATTCCACTAATTCCTAGCCAAAAAAAAAACAAAAACGGTAAGCTAGATAATATTTAAGAGGGCCTGGTAATCATTATGTATAGTTTCGATGTTTAAGATGGGTGCTTTAGGTGCCTAAAAAAAGATAGGTACTTTAACATGTGCTGTAATGGGTGCTGTAGTATTTTGATTCTACACCAACAGCTTGATTAGTCCTGCAGGTCATGTGCTGGCCACAGGGGGCGCTGTGTTGCCCAGGCCAAACGTGCACACCCTCCTTCTCTCGCTTTGGAGGTGCTAAGCCAGTTGACGCTGAGCTGGTACCGGGGGAATCTCCTCGGCTAGCAGTAGCCAGACTCGAACCCGTGATCATGGGCGAGAGCCTTTGGGGGTTCATGGCCGCTTCTTTTCATTGTAAGATTGAAATGATCGTTCGCCCTGTCAGCTGCTTCGCTTTTCCATCCCCGGTTTTCCATTTTCCATTCTTCGGTGTGCAAGGCGGATCCCTTGAGTGCAGGTTGGAAACTGTTTCCAAGTTGACCGATTCACAGACTCTTATGTTTGAGTCCAGGAAACTAGCTTAGAATGCATGAAGTCTTTTTTTCATCATAAACGTTTTTAAAAATACCCCCCAATGTTTCAAAACATGCAGATTTTCCTTTTTGTCAAGTAACCAAAGGTTTTCTAAGACCCACATCCTCCGTGTTGCAATGTGTGTCTCAGGGCTGTTTACGTAAGACAGGTCATCTTTGTTTAAACGTTAAGTTTGCATTACTGGGTGATGCATAGCTATTAATAGGTCCGAGCAGTGTTGTGCTGTACGAAGCAGCTGAACAGATCCTCCCTTTTCTCTTCCTGTTTCAGAAGCAGCTTGGCAGATTTTTCTCTGGTAAATGTAGAGGGGATTGTAAAAAAACAGCAGATGCTGATATTAATAAACTTCCACAACACATATTGGCATTAACATTTTTAGTGCTGGGGTATGTGATATACATATTGGCATTATTAGTGGCGTCCAATCCAGCAATGCTGTGTATTTTAATTTTTTTTATTGTTTATTATGTAAATGGCCTAAGGCTGTAGCTGCATGCTCTGCTTTCAGACTACAAAATAGGCTGCTTTCATGGCTGTCATCTAAGCATTCATAATGAGGCTCAGTCTTGGCTCGGCACACATCAAGAGCTGCATCCTGTGCCCATGGCACTATTGTTAATGCTCAGAGCTTGTTATGCTAATATGTTACAGTAGGATGCATCATTAAATTACTTATTTAACAAAAAAAAACTATTTTTTTTTATCCCGGTGCTGATTTTAGATGTGCTTTGATTAGGATAAGGGTAACTTCAAATGGTTTGTACATCTGAGTTCTGGGGGAAAAAAATCCCTTCTGCTTCACTTGGTTCTGTTGATCCAGTGACAGTAGTTTCCTCTAGCCATTGTGCTGAGAAAAAAAACAGCTGAATTAAGGAGGCCGCCCATTTCTTATGACAGATGTTCCTCTCCCTGATTCTGGCCCTTTCTTTCTCATTTGTATTGTTGCTGAAGGCACTCTGCTGTGCTCAGATTAGGACATGGTGTGGTGATCAACCTTAACGTTGCAGGAACCACCATAGTCTTGCAGGACTGCCTGTGGAGCACAGACTAACTTTTAAAAATCTGATTTTTTTCCCGAGTTGTTCCAAGTGAAAACAGTGCATTGAGCCCGTATAAATCATTCTAAATTGATGCAGCAAAAACACACTTTGCATTGTTTCTATATAGCCTGAAAGATAAATATCTGTCACATTTCGTACCTTTTTTAATTATATGATTGGTAGCATCCCGGGATCCTTTTTTTGTCCTCTATGATTGGGAGCCAAAAGAATTTGCATTGTCATTTGGATCAAACCCTGTTAGCTGAAGGTCTAGTGAAAAATGCTACTATTACAGTGACACAAGGGAGGGAGTGTCTTCTGTAAGCAGAAGAATAAACAAAAGGAGAAAGGGGGCAGCACTTCACTTCAAAAGTGGGTAAAGGTTTAATGCATTAAAAGCATCGCCCTTCTTAGAAAGGACCACACAGCTTCTGAAATTAGTTTATTATCTAAACGATGAATTCTGCAGCATTTGTTAGGTACCAGTTCAGAAGAGCATGCCCATAGCCAGCCCAACTATCTATCTTGAGGTTCTGTGTTTCTTCCCTGTTTCTTTGCATTTTAATTTCCTGAAAGGACAGATGAGACATGGCTTTTCTGAGGCCAGCTAGCAACCACTTCACTTCAGCCCGGCATCTCGGATACTCTCGGATTGGATTTCCCAGGCTTTTAAAATACTCTTTCTGCTTCTACAAGACAAGGAATCTTTCTCCTGAAACGTCAGCTTAGGAACCCAGGTTTCTGACCTGGCTAGTGTCACAAATCAAATGAGTTTGCTGTTCTGGGCCCTGGTTCTGCATAACTTAAATCTACACCATTGTGCATGAGGGCGTGGTTTGATCCTGGTAGTGTGGACTGGCGTGACTTCTCAGGCACTTCTCAGGCACAGCTGATGAATTGTGAACCGTCTGAACAGTGACATGACACTTGCACTATTTATATTGTCTTACTTGTACAAACGTACAACTGGGAATACACCGTTTTAAAAAATAGTTTTGTGATCTGTGAATCGAGTTGCATATGTTTCCACTTGTTTTTTCCAATATTCAGAGCTGCATATTCCTGAGCCATGTTTATACTCATTCTCATGGTGTTTTGCTGCCTGATTTCAATTTGAGGTCACAAGAGACAACTGTAGATGGGCAGCCCCCAGCACTACCACCCAAGCAGTCTAGAAAGAACATCTACAACCAGATAAATCAGTCGCACTCCCAGCAGGAACTGGATAACCACATTAATGAAATGTATGATGTTCCTCTCGCATCAGAAAAATCAATGGTAAGATTTCTTTCATCTTGTGCAGAATGCCTCTCTTTGTTGAGGTGTCAGCTGTGGGCTGTGAAATGGACAACTAGGACATTGTACGTCTTTTTAATATCAATGTGCTTTTTGTTTGAGGGGGTTCTGCATCTTCAGTCTTTCTTCCTAAGCATTATTTATGCTTCAAATCCTTTTAAGATCTGGTTTCATAATCTTAAAGCGTTTTTATTCAGCCTAAACATGACTCAGATGGAGAACGTGGATTTCTGCAGTCCTGTGCACAGCCTGCTCTGTGTTTGTTTCGAGTGTTGAAGCACAGTGAAACTCACAAATGACCACAAAACACCCTCTCTCTCTGGATCCGATTGGAATCGCTAAATCTCTGAACCCAAAACCAGTTTTTCCAAGCGCTGTTTCTACTCCCTCTCCTTTGCCTTGAGTTATGTTTAGTATCCGGCAGGCCACACTTCCCTAGTTTGTAGTTTGAGGATTATTTCAGGAAGGTGACTGTATATCTGCTTCTTTTTATTTCTCCTTTAAAATAGCGTACCCTCCTCGTCTACATTTTAGGAGGAAACACAGCATGTTTGTGTTGAGGAAAATTCTCCTGTGACAGCAGGACCATGCCCTTGTGGCTGTGTACATGACTGCTGCTTTCAGCTCTCAGTCCAGATCTGGCTTTATTATTCAGAGACTTGTGAAATGTCTGTGTCTGAAGTACTGACCAGCAAACACTGCTTCTTCAATGTGTATTACATGCATGTCCCTGTGATGTGTTTTATAGCTGAATGGGGTTGTTCCACATGACAATCTAGTCCTTATCAGAATGAGGCCAGATGAGCACGGCCGTTTTGGATTCAATGTGAAGGTACCTCCTTTTTTAACTCTGAGGACTTTTAGATGCAGGTGCTAAATGTAAAGGTGGATGCTTCTAACTATTTTGCTTTTGTCCGTAGGGTGGTTCTGATCAGAAAATGCCTGTCATTGTGTCTCGAGTGGCGCCGGGAACATCGGTATGTATTGGTTTCCCAAACGGGATGAGCTTGATCTTGATCTTCACACAGCCGGGCTGCTGTCGGTGCAGCTCTCTTGTGTGTTATGTGCAGCTCTTTCTGTGGCCCGCCTGCAGAGCAGTGGTAATACTATAAATTAACGTGACACAGAGAAAACGCTTTTTTACTGCCCCGTGGTCTGTGCTCTCATGCACAGATGAACTGCAGCTCTCCAGTCGTGCTGCAGTTCTGATTTGGTCTGTGTATGGTAAGGAAGCGCACTCCTGTTCATTCTGATATGCCTGCTGTGCCGGTCTGGGTGTTACAGGAGAGTGAGCATTGCTGGCTCAGAACAATGTCACGGGCATCTCCTGGCGAGGTACTGAGCTCACGAGGCTAAGACGAAGCACACTTGTCTCCAGTGAAGTCCTCGTGGTGTCTGAATTTTAGGGTTGAGCTGCTCTGTTTGTTACACTGGCTTTTTCTTGCCGGTGTTTGAAATCTGTGGCTTGTAGTGTAGCTGGGGTTTAAATCTGCTTTAATATGACATTGCCACCGTGTTGATGCAGGCTTGGCTGTTTCTCTCTCCTCCAAATTCCAGGCGGACCTGTGTGTCCCCCGCCTGAACGAAGGCGACCAGGTTGTGCTGATCAACGGCAGGGATATATCGGAGCACACCCACGACCAGGTGGTCATGTTCATCAAGGCCAGCTGCGAGAGCCATTCGGGGGAGCTCATTCTGCTCGTCCGACCCAATGGTGGGTGACCTGGAGTTAACTGGCCATGCCAATTAAAATTTGGAAACTGCAGCCTTCATGCCATAGCTGAGATTGGTAGATTATTGGAGAACACTACGGTTTTGCTTTTGCTTTTTGCCAAAGCCGTGGGGCTTACCGAGCACTGGGGTTAAGGACTGGCTGGTGGTGGTCTTTTCCAGCTATCTATGACGTCGTGGAAGAGAAGATGGAGAATGAGCCGGACTTCCAGTACATCCCGGAGAAATCCGCCCTGGATCCCACGCAGCTGGACGACGATGCCTGGCGAGATTCGATGCTGCAGTTAAAAGAAGGCCTGAGCAACGGCGCTGTCCTAGCTCAGTTCGATGTGAGTCTCTCCTCCCATTTCAATCATCGCGCTTGCGGTGCAGAGCTGGGTTATTCCTGCATTTCCACTGTGCCTCACGTCTCCCACGCAGCCCTTCCACCTCCCCTGTCCCGGTATCCCCACCGCCCCCTTGCTTTCCTGCAGTCCCATGCCTCCCTGGCTCTGGGGTGAATCCAGGTGTGTGCAAACGCCAGGATTGTAACTGCAGACCCTGTGATCCGTCTTTCAGGCTTCAAAATCGAAAGAGCTGTTATCAGCTGCACTGTGCTGCTCTACCCCCCTCAAGGGTCGGATCCAGTGTTTCCTCTACGCTGTGCTCGCACACAGGTTATGAAATCAGTGTACATAGGAAATTGAACTGCGCACAAAACATTAAATCCCCCCAAAAATATGATGATAAAACAAACTCATTTCAACTCATTGAAAAATGCTAAATTGACCGCACGAGACTGGCCGTGTGCATTATTATCGCTTCTCGATCATCGATATCTCTGCTCTCGCAGTCTCGTACCTCCCTGCTCCTGCTCGCTCCACACTCGTTGAATCGCTGTCCCTGTCTTTTGGATCTCCATGCTTCTATGAGGATGACTATATTAACAAAGAACAATTTCAGGTTTACAATTTTACATACACGCAGTTTAGTGCATACAAGTTTTTGTCACTGGGGAAAATATTTGCAAAACTTGACATTTTTGCGCTCACAGGCCATTAAAGAACATTGATCAGATCCCAGACACCCTTTGTTAACTCTTAATTCTACTTGTATACCTGCGGTTCAAACATACGGTATTGTAACTGCTGATTTCCCCGTGTTGCATCCTCTTTTAGATTCAGGGTGTAACTTACGTTGGGTCCCTGCTCTGTCTCACTGCTGGTTTAGTCCTCTCTAATGAATAATGCTCTGTGCAACTGTTTTACAGTTACCTGTGAATTAAAAAATTATAGAATGCAAACTTGAAATGAGGTTTGTCTTGGATTAATTTTTTAGCCAAAGGAATGAACAATCTGGCAGCAAAAAAAAAATAGATGTGGCCTGAAGATGTAAATTTCACATTGGATCGGTCACGTATTCATGTACAAATTAATTTTTAATGCATGCAAGCATCTCTCATCTTAAAGGACTAAATAGTGGAAACTAAGAGCTTCTGGTTTCAGAAGTTACTTTAAGAAAAAAAGACTAGCCAAAGTGCTACTAAGTTTTTATTTCTTCAACATAGAGATGTGGATAATAATAAAACAAAGAATTAAGATCCCAGATACAGTGTTTGAAGTATTGGTATACAAAACGTTTCCCACAGCAGGTACGGAAGGCACGTATCTAAATTAAATCCTATTGCTTCCTGTTTTTCATCAGACGGCCTCAACAGTTTCCTGTTTGGGTAAGTTGGTCATGCACTGTTAGTAAAACGTTCTTTGAAGCTAGTACGGTAAAAGCTGCAAAGGATTCTCATGAGCTTTTTGTATTCTAATAAAAGATGTATATTCCACTAAATTAGGCTTGTCTGGGGTGATTAGTCATGATTTATGTAAATTCATGAAAAACAGCTGTAGTTGGTTTTGTTTATTCGGTTGCACTGAAGCTGCAGAAATCTTACGTTTGTCTTTCATCTCATTTTTAGCAACTTTACCGGAAAAAGCCTGGAATGACCATGTCTTGTGCCAAATTACCTCAGAACATTTCCAAAAACCGCTACAGAGACATCTCCCCGTGTGAGTATGACTGTTCCGATTTTTGTGAGAAATTCGGAGTGTGTTGTGGCACACGCAGGGTAATGCTCTGAACCTTTTGTGTGTTTTAGATGATGCAACACGGGTTATTCTGAAGGGTGCGGATGATTATATCAATGCAAATTACATAAATGTAAGTGTTTTGGACTTTTTTTCTACATGTCGGCTATGTTAGGGCATTGTAACAACAGAAAGGTGATCTGGTGCTCGCTTAGGAGAGTCTGCGGCATGTGAGCTGTGCCACCGTTCATCAAGCTTCGGCTGTAGTGTCAAGAAGAACGTTTCCACCTGTTTTCGGGATTCTTTATAGCCTAATCGTCCGAGTCCCTGGTTAAAGAATTGCTAAGACCGAATTACAAAACAACACTTTTCTCCATCGGTACATCGATGGGGAAAAAAAAAACTTTGTCACCAGCCTGCTCACTTGGAACCGATTATTTAACTGTCCTCGGTACCTCTGAAATAGCCCTTCCAACTTCCAGGGGAGAAGGCGAGACAGTTTCACCGGGGGTCTTTTGTCTCTTACTGAAGTATCATTTTACCCCCGATAAAGGAAGCTTCTGAACATGAATTAGCCCCTAAATAATCCTCATTCTGTTGTGCTTTTATCGCTTCTCAGATGGAGATCCCCTCCTCCAGCATCATTAATCGGTACATCGCCTGCCAGGGTCCTCTGCCCAACACCTGCCCAGATTTCTGGCAGATGACGTGGGAACAGGGCTCCTCCATGGTGGTCATGCTGACCACTCAGGTGGAAAGAGGCAGAGTACGTTCTTTTCATTCCCTGTCACTTTCCGTTTCTGTGGTCGTCATAAGGAAAAAAGCTGACCGCATTATTTTATCCCAATAAGACTTTTTTGGAGGGTTTTTGTTAGGCGCTCAAAGGTGTTGTGAAGGTGTGCCTCATGGGCCTGTACTGGGGGTCACATGTCCTTGGGTACGATCTGAAAAACCTAAGTATGTGCAGGTAGTTTCATGCAATGCTAGATGTTGGAATGGGTAAGAAATGGAAATTTAACAAAATAGTTGAGGTTATCGTCACATTCCTTAACCCAAACTTGTCTGTTTAACTTGGCCGAGGGTGTGGTGTCAAATAATGGCTGACACTCGATGGATTTCTTTTTAGATCAAGTGTCACCAGTACTGGCCGAATCCTTCTGGGAGTGCGTCTTACGGCAGTTTTCAGATCACCTGTCTCTCTGAAGAAGGGAATGCTGCGTTCCTGGTTAGAGAGATGACTCTCACAAACTCGGAGGTAGGATGCACAGCGACAGACGCGCCTTCTGTCACTCCTTCCTGTTTTCTTCCTGTTTTTTGTTGAGGGTGATTATGAGGTTGTCCGCGGTCAGTAATCCCCTCTGCTGTCTGTCCTGTCGCCCTGGGCAGAGCAACGAGAGCCGCCACCTGACTCAGATCCAGTACGTGGCCTGGCCGGACCACGGCGTTCCCGACGACTCGACGGATTTCCTGGACTTTGTGAGCCTGGTGCGCCGCAAGCGAGCGGGCAAGGACGAGCCCGTGGTGGTGCACTGCAGGTGAGCCCTGAGAGCCGGCCGGCGGCCTGCGCTCCCTTCAGGATCTCCACGGGGGAACCCGTCGTGCAGTCAGTGGGACAGCTCTGCCTGCGTCGGTGAACAGCAGGAAACCTCCAGGCGTGCTCTGTTCACTCGAAATGAAGTCGCGCCTCAGAGTCCGTGTCGAGGTGTCGGGCGGGGTCTTCAGTGATCCGGCTGGGTGCCGGCGTTGTACCTCGTCCCCATGTGGACGGAGACGTGGACGGAGAGTTACTAGCAGTCATGGCGAAGGGGCGCGATCGTCCCGTTGCTGTAAACAGCTCCCTGTGCCCTCGGCTCCTCCAGCCCTGTGAATACGGCTCTCTTTGGATTCTTCATTTCCGGGGAAATCTTTTATATCAGTCATTTCTAAACTTCTTGGGTTGTTGCGTTTGCATAGTGGGGAGGAATATTCTGACACATCCTTTGAAACAGAGAACCTGCGAAAAACTACCTCATCCGTGCTTTTGCCCCCTTTTATGAAACATTTTGTTTTGTCCACAGTATCGGATATTGATCTGGCCTAGCATTTTGAAGTAGTCCAAAGATCAATTTCAGGTTACGTACTACTACATGCATTGTGGCTTGCACGTTGCTTTTGTGTGAAGTGTAGCCATATGATTGCATCAGTTTTGTATGGCCATAATGTTCTTATTTATTGGACATTTTATATTCAGTTATTTTTTCAGGTTGACTTATTATTCTTTTCAGTGTGCTTTAATTGGATTGGGTACTGAAGACAGACAGCTTCGGTTTTAATATTTTTGTTATTGTCATTATTATGAGATTATTAAGCACTTCTTTTCACAGGACCATGTCATTAATAGGCTATCAATGGGTTTTGCAGAGAGGAGTGTGCCCATTTTGTAATTAACCTTGCTGTTTTCCAGCTCTTAGAATGAAAGCTATAGGTTTTAAAAGCTTAATGATAATTAAAGCTTTCATTTAGCTTAATGCTTGTATGACATAGTCACATACCCAGTGCATATTTGGCTGGTGAATGAGGAAGGGAGTGTCTGCTATTTAAAGAATTGCAGTATTTCTATTACACTGGTTAGGAATTGAACCACCACAACTGTAATTAAATCTTACCACAATCACGTGATTTGCCTGTAATACAGAATATGATCTCTATATTTGGTAATGATTATGATTAATGAGATGTGGTCTAAACTGGGTACTAGTTATTTTAAGATTTATTTCAGTGGATACTTTCCTAAAATCACAAAAGAGAGCTTTTTTCATTCATCTACAAGACAAGGAATGTCGTTGTAATCATTGGTATACTTTAATCATTATTGTAAGTGTAGCTTTTGTAATGTACAGTAAATGCACTGTCATCTGGAAATATAAGTAATCAAATCTATATTTCAATTTTGGTCCAGTAATGTTTAAAATTGTGCATAATAGATTGCGTGTCCATCAGGATGTGCCTTATTCCTTGCTGGTAATGTCATGTCCTAGGAACACTTGCCCTCTACTTGCAGTACAAATACAACTTCAGGGTGTGAAGCCGTAGGTGATTGTGGCTGGACATGTTGTTTTGAAGAAGTTCAAGTAAGCGACTCCGTCAGCAGGTGTAGGCTGCAAAGGAACAAGGAGAGGTTTATTCCCTGCTGGAAAGGGAAGAAACGCAGCGTTTCGGCTGTGGAGCCCCTTCAGGTGTGGGGGAGAGAGGAAACTCAACAGCTGATAGAGCAGGGAGAACAGACGCCGGGAGCAGGAGAGAAGCAGTGTCAACACTCAGGTGGTGTGAGGTCAAGAGAGGTGTGAGGTCAAACCCTGCAGATGAATAGAGAGGATTAGAAGGAAACGAGTCTGTTGTTGAGGGAAGGGGGGAGGCTGTATTAAAGGTATGATGGGATCCAGCGGGCTGCTCAAGATCCATTCCCTTTGAAGAATTCTCCTGTCCTGCCATGGGGCGGAGCAGTGGCTCTGTGGCTCAGGATCTGCGCCTGTGGCTGGAAGGTTGCCGGTTCGTAACCCGCGGCCGGCAGAGGACTCCTACTCCATTGGGCCCCTGAGCAAGGCCCTGAACCCCAACTCCTCCAGGGGGACCGTATATATGGCTGACCCTGCGCTCTGATCCCCAGCTTCTCTCTCCCTGCCTGTGTGACTCATGGAGAGCAAGCTGGGGTCTGCGAAAAGACAAATTCCTAATACAAGAAATTGTATATGGCCTATAAAGTGATTTTAATCTTAATCGTATGGTGAGTCGGTTTTCGGCATGTCCCTGTTCTTCCGAGATGTATTTAATATATGTATATTTAAATTGATTTGTTTGTAAATTACATGGGCCAGTCACATCCCACCCATTCAGTGAAATTTCTGCAGGGTTTTTCCGATATTCCGAGCACCACTCACTTCTCCCTTGTGTGTCTTCCAGCGCGGGGATAGGCCGGACCGGAGTGCTCATCACCATGGAAACAGCTATGTGCTTGATCGAATGCAACCAGCCTGTTTATCCCTTAGACGTTGTCAGAACAATGAGAGATCAAAGGGCTATGATGATTCAAACCCCTGTAAGTATGGCATTTCCCCCCGCAGTGATCTTTGTTGAGTAACTGTGTAATGTTATTTTTCTAAACTCTCGTAAGAGGTTTTGAAGCTTAGGACAGATAGCTTTAGGATGCAAAGTAAAATAGATTTTTTAAAAGTTACTTAATTGTTTAATTCTTCAGAATTTGAGCATTTCTTTTCGATACCACCTGGAACAAGGAACACATCTCTTCCACTGTCTAAACTGATGAATAGATAAGTTCTATAAAATAGATACAATTATTATAGACAAGCTTTTAAGTCTTTATTGTGTGTCATCATTTTACACAGAACAGTCACCACGGCCATAATATAAGACTCAACATTTTTAATATTTCGATCCTGGGAGCTACAGTTTGTGAGTTCCACAATGGAGAAAGGTTCAAAATAAGCAGAGGCTATTTTTGTGAATTTGATTTGTGATTATCTTTCATTAATACCCAGCAGTGTGCAAACTGCATCAGTAGATTTCAAAAGAGAGCAAGCAATGCCTGACACAAGACCTGGTTCCAGTGTATCGTATATGGACATGCATATGGAGTCGCACTCACGGACCCTCACCGTGCATCTCCTGCTCTTTCTGTGCTGTTTTTCAGAGCCAGTACAGGTTTGTCTGTGAAGCTATCTTAAGGGTATATGAAGAAGGCCTGGTGAAACCGTTCAAGTCAACACTGTACAAGTAACCCAAGGGGAAGATGTCTTAATCTGGAAGGCTGTGGAGTTCGCTTTGCTGTCGGAACTCCAGGGGCCGGAAGCAGATTTTCACAGGAAACGATCGAGAAGGAAATCAAGTCAAAATGGCCACTTGGGAGCTGGAACTTTTGAGAAAACTTAGCACTGTTGCACTTTATGTTGGGGGAGAAAAAAAAAACAAATTGTAGAAGACTTAATGTTTTTGGTGAAAAATTGAAATATTTTGCTTCTTTCTAAGATGATAGGTACTTTAAGGAAAGTGAGTGTTCAGGGTAAATAGCATATGGAGTTTTGCTGTAGTGCCATAACATGACCATAGACCTTCTCAATAAGCATTTTACTTACGTGGAATAGTTGCCATTGCACAGGGTTAAAAATGAGTCACTATGCTTGAAATTCATCATAAATCTATCAGAGTGATATTCCTCTTTTATTGTAATCCCTTATTTACAGTACTTCTCAGTTTTAATTTTAGTTTGTGTCAACCAGTTGTACTAAATCAAGATGTATCTGGAATCTTGTTTTTCCCTGTAGGCCCGCTAACAGATCAGTTAAAATGAATGCAGTTACTGCGGTTAATATCCTGTTAGTCTTCTGTGAGAGAATTGGCTTCATTTTAGGTCCTATTTAATTTTTTGAGTGAAAAGCAGGCTCAGATGTTCTGACAATAGGTACTAGGTGCTGAAAGGGGAAAGCAGCTTTTTTGGTGTGGCTTTATGTACATTGTACCTGCAGTGGATTAGTAGGTAATGCCACTCTGATGGAGATAAAACTGCTGGAAAATTATTCTTTGTAGCAGAATGATATCATTTCCAGCTTTATACCTGCCTGTAATGTAAATAACTGCTTTGCCTAACAAGAAGAGTCTCTTTGGTACGCTGCTGTCTGAAGTCTCTGCCTTTTAAACAGGTGGGCATTTAAAGTGGAGAAACTGACACCTGACTAAGGCTTTTTCAGTTCAAACCTTTGTTAGGATTTTTGTTTCTTTTTGTGAGGATTTTTTTTAAAGAATGTAGGGAACACAACTGTAATAAAGACCCTTTTCATTTCATTGACCGACTTGTCAGGATGGTGTTAAAACTTGAGCAATTGTAATAAAGGCTTTAGCCAGGTTTCCATACAGAGCATCTCCTGCTAGATTTAATCTCTTCCAGTGGCTTCTTTTTACAGTACCCTTAAACGGTGTTAAAAATAGCATTTTTCCTCTTAAGTAACTGTGTGGTGTTTTCCCAGTAGACTTTTAATTTGAGGTTTTTATTTTATGGGGAGGAGTATGTGTGTCATGGTTTTACAATGCTTGTACAGTCAATTAGTCTCCACAGGTGGTGCTCTAGTCCATGTGATAGAACCCGTTTAGATTGCTAGATTGTGTTGGAACCTTTAAGCATACGTTATAATTAATTTCTTTAACCCTATCAAATATGTTTTGAATAAACGACTCTTTAATAGTTCTTAAGCATTATTCTAAACAAATTCGACACCTTAAATTGTCAGTGCATTTCTGAGCAGCTTCCATTCTGCATCACATGTACAGTTGTCCTTTTTCACCCAGTCCTGGTGTTGGCAGCAGTGCTTCTATGAGATTTCTACACGTGTGTGTGCAATTATTGAACATTTCATTTGACCTGTACAGTGTCAATATATATACAGTAGGTGATTTGGAAATGCCAGCAGCAACAAGCTTGACTGTGAACAATCAAAACTATTTTTCCGCTTGTTTTCATGCCCTAACATCATTTCAAGAAGTGTTTTTTTTCCAGTATTAATTATCTCGCATTAAAGCTTAGGTGTGCCACTCAGTAACTCAAGGGGAAATATCCTACCATCTTTTCTGTGCAGTGCATGTGGATGACAGTGGCATCAGTTGGTTTTTTTCCCAGTAGTGGAACAGCAGTACTTTATTTTCATAGTAGATGTTCAGCAGGTTTTTATGTGTAGCGTAGCTTTGTAGTGATAAAGCCCCTCCTTTACCTGCTGCAGTTTCCCTTCAAGACTGATGAGCCTTGGCTGATCAGGGCACATCAGGCCTCTTCTGAGTCAGTTAAACATTCTTGCCGACAAGTCCTGCCCCTTGTGAGACTCTTTAAGAGACTCTTTCTGTCAAGTTAGCAAGTTGAAGCTTAACCGATTTCTATCACCTGTCCAAAATTTCTCAGTATTTATGTAAAAACCTATAAATAAAACTTGAATATTGTTTTAAAAAATCAGGACTGGGTTATGGACAATTTGATTTAAAATACCTTTGACTGTCCTGCAAGTTTTGTTTGACAAAACAAAGTAATAGCATAAGCTGTATATTTAGGTTATTCTGGAATACTGGAGGGTGGGATGTATTTTTGTAAAAGAACTGCCTTGGCCTTTGTGGGAATGGACAGTACTTTGCTGCAGACTTTGTAGCCTTTATGCTGCTTGGGAAGAGAGAAAAGTGATACAGTTGTACCATTGTTTGCTAAAACACATGTAGAAGAAGCTGAAATCTGTAGTGCCACTTCTTGGTTTTGTGTACATAAACTAGACATTGTAAATACCTTGCTGTATATTAAGATCTTTAAAATGAGAAGGAAGATGACATGCGTTTAAATATTTTTGTAAAACAAAAACATTGCAATTACTAAGCCGTTTTTTCCACATCAACAAAGGAGGGAAAAAAACACATTGGGCCGCATCTCAGAAGTTTTACATTGACTAAAATGCTGTCTGTTAATCAGGATCTCTGTAGGAAAGAATGTACCTGTACTTAATGAATGCATGTCACTGGAACGTTGAATGAAAAGAGCCCAGCAAGTCACAAATTTCACATTTGATTTTGTCAAAGCCAGCAGTTTATTATTAAGTACATTTTATTGCAATTCATGCTCAAGGAGCGATAGTTGAAAGTGGTAAATGTCTCCCAACCACAAGTCAGGTCCATTGTGCAGAAAATAAACTAGTGTCATTTAGGGCTGCAATCAGGTTATTTTTTACAAACGTAGTTTTCAGTTTTAACATTGCTGCACCTTATGAAGGTTCAAGCAGAGATTTCCTTCTCAAGCTTTGAATTTGAATGGAATAAACTAAATTTCAGTATTTTATTGTGGCCAGGAAATTAAAGAGGGATTCAAGGTGGTGTGAAATGGAAGTATTTTACTTCTGAACAATTTCTGACTCTTTTGGTATTCTCTGTTACCTGCTTATATTTCGACTAAATTAATTTTGTATTGAAGTAGTGTAAACTAACTAATGAGTAATAGTATTAATCTGTTATCCCTTATTTTATGTTCATTCTTGTATTAGAACGGGTAACATGAGAAACTGATAACTAGAAAATGTACAGTAAATATTTTGTAATAGGATTTTAATCAGAAATTAAATATTTTGAACAATTAAATCATGCAAAGTACTTAAGATAATTTGACATTTTTGTTTTTCTGAAGTTTAATAAAGTATTTTATGAAAAGAAAGTAACTGAAAAGTAAGGTGGTTGGTGCTTTTTTTCATTTTGCCTCTAAATAGTGAATTTTGCCACTGATGCAAAACTAACTTACAGGCAAGATGTGCACTTAACAGTCATCAGTGCAACATTCAGAGATGCAGTATACAAAGGATAAGATAACTGTGTTCCTAATATTTCCTTTCTGAGATAGTTAATATCTTAATGTATAATTACATAGATCTGAGACGATTTTGGAGTTCTTTTAGTACTAACAAAACAATATACAGTACCTTGTATTTTTTTAAGAGTAGTTCTAAGGCTGGTTTTGCCAAAACTCATGTGTTGAGTTCCTCACTCCTGAAGTCTCATGCTAAGGTATGATAACCTTCTTTCTAGGGGGTGCAGATTGCTTTAAATCAGTTATTTAAGTTATTACATTTATTGAATTATTGTCTCTTAAGCAGCTGTTTACAAAAGCCATTTATACCACATGGTGGATGGGTACCACACACATTTGAAAGACAGTTCAGTGATTTGAGTACACCTTGCCTAGATCAGCTCACAAAGAAGTAGGTCTTCACATTTGAATTGGTGACAGAATATTGTTATGATAATTGTATTCCTTATAAAAATGTTTTCTAAATCTGCACAACTGTGGTATAAATAGGCTTCATAAATGTCTGCTTAGGGTATACTTAAATATTGTGAAAATCTCTGTTCTTTACTGACAGTCTATAGAAGGATATAAAGCTGTTTACTTGTATCATGCTGTACAAAAACTGAATGTATCAATCTGACGTGAAAAAATTCATAAGGTAGAGTAATGACTGTTGGACTTTAAGGAAAAATATTTTTTCATACCATTTGTAAAAAGAAAAGTTTGTAACACTTCCATATATATATACATTTGTATGTGTGTGTGTATATATACACATACATGAAGGTTTAAGGCTCAAGTGTTTTCATTGTAAATAAGAGCAATATTATAAATATTGTGAATTTAGTGCCAATGTTCTGTAAAGTTTAAAGTCTTTATTTCTGCTCAGAAATTGAAGTATGCTAGTTTGTTGTCAATTTCAAGGTTTCTTCCAATACTCCTTTGCTGTTTTTATTTTTGTTTAGGTCTGTGGAACGTTTGCGAATGGTATTTAAGAGATAATTTCACTTTGTGTTTGAAATTGGCAGTGTGCATTATGTAAAAAAGAATTCATTTTGCCACCCACTAGTGAATTTTGAAAAATCATTGTGGGTCGCAGTGGATATTAAAAAGCATCAGTAAATTTTTGGTAAATTGCTGTACAAACGTGTCTTACTTGAGTATTAACACGACTGTAGTTGTCAGGCTGGAATTGATGGTGGTCTTACAACACCTGATAAATAGTTACTGGACTTTAGATAGGAACAAACTTTTTTTAATTCAGCAAGATTCGCATACTAGAAAATCAGTTCTCTCATTCTTATCTTGTCATTTAATAATGCATGAATTTCCTTTGAAATCACAATAGTAACATGCACGGTGCACCCTGTTGGTGTCTGGATGCGTGCATTCTCTTATTTCTGCTCCTTCTAAGTTATTGGCTGGGGGTTCCCTGGCGTTTCTGGGATCTCCTAATTAAGATGTTAAGGGGGAAGAGCTGTGTCCGCAAATGAGCTGCGAGGGTACACGTCGGAGTTGCCCATTCCGTTCCCCACTCGCTTGCTTCCTATTTCCACTCCCCCTCCTGTACACACCCGACACCAGCTCTGCGGCCAGAACGTTGTCGTTTTCTCCATGTACTCCGTGGAATTAACCTCCTCGTTGTTGCTCTTCTCACCTACGACCTTAGTAAAATTGCCGGTGTCTGGGTCTCGTTTCCAGAGCCCTGCTGAAGCGGGGTTCTCCGCACGCAGGTGCGGCTCTGGCTCCGGTTGAGGTCCGATCTGGGCGGGTCGAGTCCGATCCCCAGAAAAGACGTGCCCAAGCAGGCAACATCCGAAACCCCCCTCAGCTCCGTTCACAAAGTTGGCGACCCTCTCATCTTTCGGTGAATACCGATTGCGTTTTTTAAAAGCACCTTACGTCCAGTCAGTTGTTGTTGAAGGGTTTTGGGTGGATTTTTTTGTTCCCGCCATTTGTTCCCCTCTCACACAGGAGACTAACTGCAGGTCTGGTTCAGGGAGGAAGAATGACGAGTACCACCTCCTTTTATATGCACAGGGATGTCAGGTTTTCTCCACAGTGTTGGAGGTGATATCCCCAGGAGAAGATATGCAGCAGGTGGACACTTCTGATGAACAGACTAACCAGTGTGAAACTAAATAAAATCTGAGAATAAGTGAACTTAATGAATGGTATTTTTTTATGTGACTGCACGATAACATTTTGCCTAAAATGCCAGTGTAGTATTATACATATAAATTGCTTTCCCTGGCATTTTTCTATTGGTGGAGATAGTCGGGTGAGTGCCGTTTTAAGTAAATCTAAGTAATTTTATATGTAGAGCCTTTAAAAACCAGTCATCCCAAAACGCTTTACAATGCAGTGCATAACATGCACAATACGCAGAGGAAAATGACACAACCATGAAAAATGCAGATAAAGAATATAAGCACTGGGATATAATGCCTTTCTGAGAAAGGACCTGTTCCAGGACCCGGAGGAACGAAATGTTGCCCATCACCCACAGAGTGCAGAGGAGCAGAGGGACCCCCCCAGGAAACCTGAATCAGCCGAGCTATAATTGCATGGAGAGAGAGGGATAATCCCATATCGGCCAGATACATGGGTTTATGCGCAGAGCTGTGAACATGATGGATTGTCGACGCCAACCCTGACGGGAAACCAGGGCAGGGGGTCCAAGACAGGAGTGATACTCCGCCCTCGATGTGTGGTGGCAGGAAAACAGACCATTGGCTTTATCAAAATAAGGTGGATGCATAAAAAATAACAGGCAATTCGAAATGTGCATGAAAAAATGAATGATACAGCTGACGTTTGGCCTTTCAAAGGACGCTGACTAAAACACGAAGGCCTGTGTTAATTAGGGTGACGGGTCTGGTATTTTTGCTGATTGTAACTGAGGTGAAGACTGCAGGTATAAATTCATTCTTCAATTTGTCTGTCTGCAGATGCATTTCTGAAATGATTCTTTCCCAATTTTCACCGAAAGTATTAAAATCATGTTCAATATCCGGTGTAAAGATTTCATCTTCCAAATATTTTTAACCATGAAAATTTTAAACCATTTTTTTAGCTTATGCAACACTCGTAACACCTGTCTAGCCTTATACATAGACCTTATCAAAGTACTAGAATTAACATTTCCCTTGTAATACTCCAACATACCATAAGGTGGACATCTCCTACAGTTGAAAACGATTGTATAGCATTCAGAAGTGGTAACTGCTTTTTAAACGAGTCACATTCTCTGAAAAAACACAATTGAGAACACCTGTTCAACGTGGGTTTTTAGTTGTTACTGCTTGCACTCATGGAGACTTTTAGGATTGAGGTGAAGCCTGTGGGGGGACAAACTGAAGGTAATTCCAAACTAAAAACACAGCCTGTCAGGGGTGGTCACAAGGTGTTTTTTTTTCCTTTTCTTGTGTGAAATTAACTTCTACTTGTGCCCTTGTGAAACTTCCCTTAGCAAAAAAATACAATTAAAATTCATATAAGGTTAGGGTGTGTATGGGTACTCTTAACTATTTTGTTAACAGAATGTGCCAACCAGGGATCACTCATTAAGTACATAACAGGCTGAATTGGTCCTTCAGCCTTGCTAAACACCCAGGAGCTGAGAAGCTCTGTTATGCTGAAGGCCTGGTCATCCTCCCCGTGTTCCCCAGAGGCGCAGGCACTGCTCGTCAGTATGCGGTTGCCTCTCCACACCTTTAAAGCAGTGTTGGATTTCCCATTGGGCACTGCAGGCACAGAGCCTAGAGCCTAAGGCAGAGGGAAACACTTTAGTGACTCACGAAAAACGAGCTGAAACGACTTGCCTGCGATCGACTCTCGGTGCTCCAGATCAATAATCCTACGCTACTGTATGTAGCGGCTGTTCTAGACACTGGAAGTATCGAAGTGATGGTCGCTGGACTCGCTCCATCAATCACGGGGTTCAGCATTAGAATAGTTTAAAGTGCATCATGTCAATCGGCTTCAGTCAGCTGGCGGTGACCCCACTTTCTGCACGTTTCGGGGTGAAAGTGCCGAGGGCCTACGAGCACTCAAATCTGGCCCTGCTTTAAAGTAAAGAGAGCAGGGCACCAATAAAGCTGTGGCCAGTTACTTTGTGTGACTGCATATTTTCCAGCTTGCGTTACAGACCTGCATGCCCTAGTTATGTCACACTGTTCCTCTACTTTAATGCTCTGGCTGTGAACTGACACACATAGCCAGCAGTCTGAGACGGAGGCCGCACTTTTGCGCAGCCTTCTCATTTGAACTGAATAGAACTCCCAGCGGCTGTTGTGTGATCCCTGCAAAACTTTATTGTCATTGCTGCTCTCTTAGTCTGGTCTTGGACTGCACACCAGTCAGCCTCTGAGACAGCAAGGCTGTCAGCCACGTCTCTGGGTCACCTCAGGTTGCCTGATTGCATTGATCAGATTCTGTTAGAGTCCACCCACTGGCCCAGTGGCGTAGTGGTTGGCACCCACTGCCTGACAGCCCTGGGGCCCTGGGGTTAATTCTGGATGTGGGGTGCTGTCTGTGTGTTTTTATGTTCTCCCCATGTTCGTGTGAGTTTCCTCCCACTGTCCAAAGACATCTTGGTTTAATTGGCTTCAGGATCAGGCACTATACGCTACGGGATAAGACGTAAGAAAAAGTCTACAAACAACGAAAGTCTACAAAGCCGTTGGGTTGCTTTAGTTTTTAACTGAGCCGAGAATCTCATGCAGACGTTTTACGCCAGGGTATCGGATTCAGTCGCTGGCTGGGTAGCTTGCTGGGCTGTAGCTTCGGGTTCAGAAGCATTTACACCTCCCTGCTGGCAGTGACCTTCACATCTTTGGGGTGCTTCTTATTTAATAGGGTAGCGTTTGACATGCAGGGGAAATTACGGAGAATAAATCTAACGTACCTTTGCAGTGTAATTCATATTAAAAAAAGAAAGCGAGGGAATTATATTCAAGGTACTTTTAGACAGATCTAAATTCTCAGTTTCCCACATGGTATGTATAAATCCTGTCCTACTGACTGTATGTATCGTATGTTCGGTTTTCTATCGTCCATTGCTTCGCTATATGTTTATTCTGTTTTTAAATTTGAAAACTGCCCTTATTAATTCCAGACCGACCAATCAAACGGGAGTCTGATCAAGACCGCTACTCTCCAAATGTTACAATGAGTGTTTTAAAGGCACAATCCTTTCGTTGAAATAATCCACCTGGCACAGGGCGCTGGTGACGGTAATAACATCATCCCACAGGGATTTTTTCTTTGGCAACACTGCGACTTTAAGGGCGGCCGACGTTGTCCCTTTAAATGCAAATCCAGTTTCTTGAGGAATTATGTTGACGCCATTTCCTCTGGGAGAAATTCAGTCTGCTCCCGTTTTTGAGCCGCTATGATTTTCTTCCCCTCCTCCTCCTCCCTCCCTCCCCCCGGAAAAAAAAAGAAACTCGCGTAATTCTCGATGTTATATGGTGGGAAAAAAGTGCTCCCTGAGTTGTTTTTCGTTGTTTAATGCTGGAAATACATGGTTTCGCAGTTGCACCTGGGTCGCCGGGGAGTCTGCTGTTCGCTGGTGGGATTGTATCCCGCTTTTGTCTGAGGATCTGGGATCAACAAGTGGGAAGCGGGCTGCCGGGAGTCTGACACACTTCCCGACCTCGGGCATCGGATCCGGGAGACGCGCAGGAGACCGAGCAAACCCAGGTAGACCTCTCTGGCGTGATCTATGCGAACTCAGACCTCTCTCTGTCGTGATATGATATATGTAAGCTCAGGTAGACCTCTCTGTCGTGATCTATGCGAACTCAGACCTTTCTCTGTCGTGATATTTGTAACCTCAGACCTATTTCTGTCGCGATATGTGTAAACTCTGGGATGTGTAGACCCGGGTTACACCTCTCTCTCCATCGTGATATACGTAACCCCAGGTAGACCTCTCCCTGTCGTGATATTTTTAAACTCGGGGGATTTTTCTGGCGTGATATTTGTAAACCCAGGCGGACCTCTTTTGGTCGTTATGCATGTACACGCAAGTTACACCTCTCTCTGTCGTGATGTAAGTTCGGGGTAGATTTTAAGTCGTGTAACCGAAGTGCAGTTGCCCCCGCATTTGATTTCAAAGACTGTCACCGGTCTGTGAGCCGGAGGTATTAAAACACAAATATTTCTTTGATTGTAACAAGAAAGCTGTGAGTCTTTCTGTGTCGATATCAACCCACCTGTCTCTGTTTGCCGCTTCAGTCGCGCCGACAGCCCGCAGGAAAACTTCGCTTCAGGACGCCTGCGAGGAAGGTTACTCTTTTCGAGAAGAGTATCGAGATTGTGCATCTTTCATGTTAAACATCCGCGTTACTTTCACAGCTACATGTATTGAGTGCCCGCTTCGCTGTGATAACGAGGCGCTTCTGAGAGCAACCTCGAGGTTTTCTGTGAAGACACATTATTACTCTGGAAATGAAGTAGGGTTGGTTTTTTTGTTCGGAATGAGTTTTTATTGTCGAAACGCTTGAAATTCCAGTCAGTAATTCTGACTGTACTGGGAAGCCGGCCGTTTTATTGCCGTGTCCTTCGTTTAACACTTGTAAGTATTTTGACGTGTTTTGGGGGATTGAGGGAGATGCGGTTGATTTAAATACTTTTCTCGCGTCTTTGATCACCACTCCTCATGTGAAGTACAGTACCTGTGATTTCGTGGCCAGGCCCTGTGTGTCGTGTAGTGTTTATGTTTCTAATTAATGCAGTTTGGAACGCAACACCAGTATTAAAACCAACCCTTAGTCCATTCGTCGCTTTTGATTTTTTACGGTAGCATAATTACCGATGTATTTATAGTTTAGACTCGAAAGATGGGAAAATAAAAGCCTGCAGCACCAGACACCTTCCCCAGTTTTCCGTGTTATCAGGTTTCCCGAGTGAATTTCTCTTGAGACTCTCCTGAGGCAGGACGTGGATCCGGGGAGATGGTCTCACAAGTTTGCCGTTTTAGAGGTTAGAGAGGGGGGGGGGCTGGTTTGCTCGGTCAGGCCCAGTCGGATTTCCCCACACACGGATCACAGCCCGCAACCAAGAGAGTCTGGGCGCTACAGCTGTGCTGGGGTCTGGCCAGCTGTTGGAAATGAGCACCAGTGGGTTGTGCCTGGACCCCATCTACACAGGCCTGGATTAATGATGCTGCTCTCTGATGAGTTTGCACACAGAAGACTGAAAGCAATTTTATCAGCTCCTGACTTCGTCTTCTCTTTTCACCTTGAAACGTATCCTCCTTCTAACTATGTGCTTGATACGACAAACTGGCCGATTCTTGTGAACCCAGGTAGCTCTCTTTTTGTTGCAGGCTTTTTTTTTGTGTGTGGAAAAGTTCCTTTTTTCAGTGTGCAAAGAGGAATTGTTTAATAATGCCCACTTCACTGTAAGCGGCCACACAGAACAGAAAGCAAGACAGTTTGCCAGTTAACCCAGTTTGTGGTCTGTTATTTGAGCTCATTTGTTGAGCTGCTGCTGAGGCCATAGAGTGAACCTGGCTGATCGCATTGGCCTGCTCCCTGATCTTTCTGCCGTTTTGCTGGTGTTTTGGCGGTAATGTAGTGCGGTCTTGTTAAAACATCCTTCCATTTTCAAACCACTTTATCCGGTTCAGGGTCGTTGGGGGAGTAGGAGCCTGTCCCAGTAAGCAACTGGTGCAAAGCAGGGTACAACCTGGAAGGGACACCAGTCCGTCGCAGGGAACACAGACGCACACTCACACCAGGCACGATTTTCCCAGGATGCCAGATACGGCCAGTTTGTCTATGGGCTGTGGGAGGAAACCCTGGGAACACAGGGAGAACATGCAAATTCCACACAGACAGCACCCCAGGAACAGAGCCCAGGGCTGTGAGGCAGCAGAGCTGCCCCTCTGCTCCTCCCTCTTGCTAAAACAACACTAGCAAAAAAAAAAAATCATCCTTCGCTTTTTGTAAAGATGTTATAGCAAGGAAAAGGTGACCGCAGTTGTTCCGCTTCCCACAGCCTGATCAGATGTCTGCAGCCAAGCAAGGTGGGGCCTGGTCAGCACTGGGAGACGTCTTACTGTAACTTACAGGCTGCTGCTGTAAGTGGAGTTGGTGGACCAGTAGGTGGTGCTCTTCTCTCTGGAGCAGGATTGCCCAAGAAATGGCCCCGTATGGTCACAGGGGGGAGTGTCTTGCAATGGGTTTTTGGACGAGATTTAAAAAAGGAAGCTCTAGCTCCTTAGTCGTTAGACATCCTGTGGCACCTCTCACGAGAGCATGAGTGTTTTCCCGTGTCTGAGTTCCACTCCGGGCTCGAGTGAAGTGGGGCAGCAGCTGCTCCCTTGTCCACCCGCTCTGCTGAGTGGTGGGGCGGCTGGTGCAGGTTAGCCGCTGCCTGTCGCCTGAGTGGGGGCGCCCTTCAGTCGTGGTTGCGGTGGGGTTCTCCTTCTCTGGGAAGAAATGCTCCACATACCTGCAAAAGCATTGCTAAGCATTCTGGGAGTGAAAGCTGGCTTCGTTAGAGTGACTTGCCAGTCCATCGGTCTTACCTGAAAGAGTGGGGTTTTCCTGGCTATGGCCACTAAGGCACAGAAGCCGTCCTGGAAGCAGGTGGGGCCGACCCTGGGCAGGAGGCTGGTCCGTTGCAGGAACGGCGGCACTCAAGGCTGATTTCCAGGACCCAGCGTTCCCCTCCTGCAGGCAGGAGGGAACTGGAGCGAACCCATGCGAATATGGGGGGGGGGGAACCTGCAGACTCCCCCATCTGGAACCCTACCCAGGAAGACATTTTTCATGTCTTTTCCAGAAATTAGAATTAAGTTGGGAAAAATGTTTGTCACAGATGTCCGAAGGGTGGGTGGGTGGGTGGTGCATTGTTGGATAAAAGTGACAGGTTGTTGCCTTTTTTTGGGTCTGTGTTTGGGAGGCGTGGCTCGGCTCGGCTCGGCCCGCTCGGGGGTCCCGGAGAGTGACTGCGGTCTGTCGTCTTTCCTCCCGGCAGGACCCCGCCGGCCGCCACGATGCTGCGCTTCCTGCGCCGGACGCTGGGGCGGCGGTCCATGCGCACGCATGCGGAGAAGGAGCGCCTGAGGGAGGCCCAGAGAGCCAGCACGCACATCCCGGCCGCCGGCGACGCCAAGTCCGTCATCACCTGCCGGGTGTCCCTGCTGGACGGCACCGACGTGAGCGTGGACCTGCCGGTAAGAGACCCCGGCGTCGCGCTTCGGCTCAATCCCACGCCACCCTTCACGCCGAGCCCCAGAGCCGGGGCAGTTCGCGCTCGTCCGCAGGCTCAGCCCCCTGAAAACGCGCACGAGCTGCCTGCAGATAACTTGCAGGGAGAGACTCCTGGACCCTGAAAACATCTTTACGCTCTGAAGTAAAGAGAGGCAACTGTTCCCCGCTGTGCTTCTGCCAGTAAGAAGTATGATATTTTAAGGTGTTTTAAGAACAATTTTATCAAAGCAAACGCGACCCTTGCAGGTTTCGGTCTGGATTTATTGTTCTCTAGGGCTGGAAAGATTCCATGAGTGTGCTTTGTGCCTCTGATATGATGTGACCTTTTTATGTGATCCTGCGACAGCGGTTTCCAAGCGATGTGTTGGGAGAACGTGCTCAGGTCCATCTTGTGTGCCGGCCTTTGTGGGCGTCCAGTAGCTTCTGCTGTCTCTGTTGTGTGTGGTTGTGTTTGCAGTGCTAGTGAGTCGTGGGAGGGGTTCGGCAGCTTTGTGGCCCGGAGGCGCTGAGGAGTGATGAGCAGAGCTTGTGGGTTAGGAGTGACTGGAGCAGAGGATCGAGTTTCCCACATTAGGACACCGACTGAGCTCCAGTGGCTCTTCGGCAGACCTGAATGGAGCACAGATGGGCTCGCTCACCACAGCACTTGTCATGCGCAAGTTGCAGGCCCAGCTGGAAAATTGGTTTCTTCCACTGTTCTATTGGTGTTAAAAAAGCAGCAGAAAGATCAAGTGCTTCAGTCTTGGATCACGCCTGCGCAAGGTTGCATCGTTTTGGACTCCATTCAGGGAGCGTGTTCTCCATCGCAGAAGAACATGGCTTCCGCAGTGCTAGTGATGGTGCAGGTGCAGGTGGTGAGAAGAAGCCCATCGGACAGGAGGTCCCCTTTATACATTCCCCCACTCTTACATAGCTGTTTGTTTTTTGGGGGGGAATCTGTAAAAATGTCCTGCTCTTGCAAAGCGACATAGTGAAATGAGCAAAGGAGACCGGTTTTGCAAAACTTGGTGGAGAATCATAATGTTTGGAAGTGTGTTGGAATCTGTGCCCTTAACAAATGATGAGCTTGTGGAGTTGGACAGACAAGCACTGAACGACAAACAGCGGTGAAGTTTCCCGCCTGTAGTGGTTCACGGTTCTGGTGCTCATAGACAATTATGAGACTAGCAACACGATGCCCAGTCTTATTCAGAAACATGACTCTCTCCTTTTAGAGTCTGGTTAAGGGAAATATAATGTTTAAAATTCTGTCGTGGGAAACAAAAATAAGTTTGTGAAATAAAGTAATGCTAAGTTATAAAAAAATAATTAAAAATGATTTGGAGGCTAGCAGTAATGCTTACAAATTGTCACAATAAGGCCGTTTGCTATGTCATTAAAATGGTTTTCAATTGGTGTTGGAAGTTAAAATGCTGCTAAAAGGACCTTAAATTCAGCAGATGTTCAGCAGGTGCCTCTAACATCACGTACAGTACCGTATGCTTCACAAAACTGTGGCGTTTCTGTGAGTAAAAGGCATCTCCTTATCTTCCAGTCCCAATCCCTCCCATCCATTATTTCTTATGAGAGACATTTCTGTGCAGTAAGTTGCAGGAGTGTAGTGAAGTGAAAATACATGTTCTTATGGTCCCTATCCCTCCAATTTAATATTCAACATTTCCCTTTACACTTGATTATGCTACATGTTGCACTTCTGTGATGGCTAACCCCAGCATATTAAGGAGACCCCTGTGACATTAAAGACAGACGTGAATGGTCTTTCTCCAAAGAGTAGTCACAAAGCTGCCATCTGCAGTGCTGCTGCTTCTGCCTTTTTAGCAAAACAAGACCTGTTGTCATTCTCCCAGCCTTGCTCTTACTGGAGGGAAAGCAGTTGCTGGAGATTCTATAAGCTGTAACGGCCCCAGCAGAACCTTTCCAACCTTTGTTAAAGCGAAAGCAGGCAGAAGACTTCAGGCCTCGTCACCACAATCCTGTAAACGGACTCGGGTGAAAGTGACCGATTCCTGCTGCGCTGCCCCATTAACATCAGAGGGGACTCCGCTGTAGGAGTGGCAACACGGCACAGGTGCAGGTTTTTAGTACAACATGTAGATGTTCTTCAGAGCCACTGAAATGTTGAGCGGTATGTTTCATTCTAAAAAGATCACGAAAAGCACGTACGTCTCTCCTTGGTCTTCGAAGACCGTCTCTGATTCCCCTGCGACCTGTTGATTTGAATGGAATCTGATGTCTTTAGTTTTACGGTCTGTCAAAGTTACGTTGCACGGCGTTCTGATAGTCCTCCGCGCAAAGCAGTGAGGAGCTGGGTGGACGTTAAAATTTGGGACGTGGCGGCTGGTTTTGTTTTTGTTCTCTGCTCCCGTGATCTGCAGGCATGGAGCGGCAGAAAGGAATTTAACTGCAGTATGTGAAGGCAGATCTCTGGCTGGCTGTCTCACTTCGCCGCAGACAATGCAGGTCTGTGGCTGCAGCCTGCTGGAGTGCACAATAGCCCTTTTGTGTCCATTCTTCCAGCTTGATCGGGCACTTTATATGCTGTGCCAACTCAAGAGGCCTCTGCCTACACTAGCTGTCCAAACACTGTGCAAGTTTCTTGCTGTGCAGGGGCTGCTGTTTATTTTCTGTAGGAGGAAAATGACCGTAGGGCCAAAGGGTTTCTGAACCCAAACCATAACTTAAATTGGCTAAATAAATGTTTTTGTTTTTCCGTCTACGTTACACAACCACATTCGTCTCAATTGCTGTAATTAGTGCTCAGGTGTGCCGTCGGCAAAATGTCTGGTCTGTGAGCAGATGCTCTTCCTCTGAGGTCAGTTCGCATCTGATGCAGATACACAGGAGCGTAGTGTGACCAACTGTCAGGGCAGTTTCACAGCCGTTTACAAGGTTATTAATGTCTCAATAAGAGAGGGCATGAGCATTTCAAAGGTCAGTAACACGGTGCTACAAATGTCATACCTCCTTACTGTATCCAGCTGTTCTTTGAAAAGAAAACAGCCCAACTAACCACATGCATATTTCTAAAAGAAAGAGGTGGATATCGGGAATGCTTGAAGATGTATTTCTGCACTTCTTGCTCACACAAGCAAGGTATTTTGAATTTGTAAAGTCTTAAGCACTTTACTCAGACTCTGGTTTCTAAAGAAGTGAGCTTTGTTGTGGAAGGATTGTAGGCTTCACCTGAAACTCCTGTGAGATTAACATGCACTGTGAGGAAGGGACAGTGAACTAGCAGACTAGATCACGAATACTGTACTTCTCAATGCCCCACAATAATAAGCAAAATATCTAGTTTGTTCTTGTCTAAAATGTTTTGAAGGTCACATGAATTTGTTAAACGCTTTTTGGATCTGTTTTGTGTTCTTGTTCGACTGCTCGGTGACCTTGTTAGATTGAAGGACAGATAATTTGTGAAATTTGCTGGAATATTTAAGCTACAAACTGGTGCCTTCTGTCAAGAACCTAAGCCTTGGTTGCAAATGGACTTTACAGTAGTATAGAAAAGCACAGCCTGCTTCAGACTTCGTGACCGAGCAGACACGGGTGCTCTGAAGTTTGCGTTCTTGATTGGTCATCATGTCTCCAGTAGGCCTTCTGTGGTCTGAGCTGACGACACTGAGCACAAGTAACACGGGAGCAGAGCCTGGAGCTGCTGGAGAGGTTGAAATTGAAATTCACTCCTTGACTGAAGGACCTTACAGAGATGTATTGGACCTAAAATAATGAGAACCCCTATAATTGCACGCCGACTGAGGCTGCTCAACTGATTGCATGGCACGCTAAAGTATTTTGTGCACCTGAATTAACTTAAATGGGCCGCATCAGGGGATTTGAATACTCGTGAAAGGGAGACTTAGATAATTTTAAAACAAAATGTACATTTTTGTGTTTTTAGCTTGAATTAAGGAGAAGGTTGTGTTTAAAAAGGCTGTGAATGTGTTTGGAGCCTAGCCTCTTTAACAGAGCCTCCTTCGTCTTGTATGCAATATCTTTTAATCAGATGAGCTGCTCTCTCTTGCTGTAGCCGGTTGGCTTGCTCAAGAGTGCCAATAGCTTGTGCGTTGTCCACGGGACGGCGGTGGACGGACGATCGGAGTAAAAGTCTCTGGAGTGTGTGCAAGGGTAGAGCAGCCCGGGCCTGTTTCCAGTTGCCATGGTTACCCCGGAGCAATTTCTCATGCTGATCACCCAGGGCCTTGAGCAGAGTGACTCAGACTCGCGCGGACTGGTACGGGCGTAAAGGTAGCTGAGGGCAGTCAGCAGCCGGGCCTTCTCGGGGAAGCAGGGAACAGAATCCCCAGCCCCAGTCGTGTTCAAACGCACAGCCTACTGTATAGCAGACGCCAGTGGCGTTGTGGACCGGGACGGTTCTGAGGAGTGCTGTAGGCAGCTTCTCTTTCTCAGTAAGAGAGGTTTCGGGTCACTGTTTGGCAAGTCCAACCTCCCCCTTCACCCCTGTTTTCAGGGGGTTCTGTTCTCCGCTTGAGTTGGCGCCAATGAACGATCGTCCAGTGTGTCGGTTGAAGAGTAAAGGTGAAGCGGCCCGTTTCCTTTCCTGAAGTCGTTCCTGGCGGTCAGTCCCCCATCCTGTGCTGCGCAGCCGGCCCTCTGTGTCCCTGTTCTGAGGGCACGTTTCAGGTGGCATCGCTTCCGTGCCCAGTTTCTGCCGTCCCCCAATTTATTGGGATAATGCCTGTTTTTTTTTTCTTAAATGAAAGAATAAAAGTTTTATAAAAAGATGCAGAAATTTCTTGGTAATTAAGCATCTCTCCAATCTATAATTGCCATCAGTAAGGACTGGTAAGATATTGGCAGTTCTATCTACTGGATAGAAAATTTAAAGACTGGTGATCCCCATATGACTTTGTACCCAATAAACATGTACCCAATAAAATGAAACAAGTAAAGGTTTCATTTTATTGAAAGAAACACAAAGTTTTGGCTGTGGAGCCTTCTGAGGGTGTTTCTTCTCGTTTCAGCACGGATTCAACCTTTACTTGTCCCTTTGCAGCCTGCGCATGCTGACGCAGCTCCCTACTTGAACTTCTTCTACACAATGAAATAACTCTTCTCTCTCTAACTTTTTTCACAGAAAAAAGCGAAAGGACAAGAGCTGTTTGATCAGATCATGTATCACTTGGATTTAGTCGAGAAGGATTACTTTGGTCTCCGGTTTATGGATTCAGCGCAAGTCCCGGTGAGATTCATGAGCTCGGCGTGTTCCCTTTTCCGACTTCGAGTGTTAATTATATCGTACCGTTTGCAGGTGAAAGGATTCGACAGGCTGATGCAATGTGTGATGATTGGAGCACATCATCTGTATTCAGAAGAACGGGTGTTCTGGATGAATAGTTCGAACAATATTTTCAAATTGGGGTTTAAAATTATTGGGATTAACGGGGGTTCAATCCATAATCAAAAACAATTTAGAATAACAAACCCCATTATATGTCTGATATAAAGAATTAAGCACCTGATTTATTTGTCTCCTGTATGTGACCATGAGTTAAGCCTGTAATCTTTTTACTATTACGTACAGCGTACAGGCCTTAAATATGGTTAAAAAGTTGCCATTTTAAATGGTGCTATGTGATTCTTTAAAAGTTATGAATGGTACAGTGTGTGAGTAGTCATGACGGAGTCCTCTGCTTCTGATTTTGTTTTTTGAAAAAGGTCTTTTGATTTTGCTTGCCCTTTTTCCTGTCTGGTAAGTCTAGACTTTTGAACCTTCTTCGGATTGTGGGATGAGAAGTAGCATTTTCTTGGCGGCAGCTACAGTATGTACCTTAAAAACGGTCGGCCGTGTCGGGGAGGGATTTTCAGCTGTTGTGGTTTGGAATGCGGAGGAGCTGAAAGAAAACAGGCCGTGGCAGAAACGGGCTGCTTCTTCAGCGAATCGCCAGCTGCCTGCCCTCCCTCCCTCCCTCGGTCCCGGCGGTACGAAGCCAAAGATCAGCCAGCCCAGCCCTGGCACGAAAAACAAAACATTTTTATACAAGGGACTGAGATTTTATTTTTGCTTTGAGGATATTCTGGAAAATTCTCATTAGGTTTTTCTCTCTTCATACTGAATGCCGTTATTATCACAGGTGGGGAATTTGTTTTGCAGACAGGTACAAGATGCAACACAGTACATAAGACATTTAACAGCAGAGTCAGGGTAATACATTTTACAGAACACTTTTAAGTTAGTGCTAGAATCAGTGATGTTTTCAGAAAAACACAATTTTCCCCTCTCGTGATTTTTTTTTCATCTTCGACAAGCAGAAACTGGCCCAGGGCTTTCAAAGAAGACCCAGTGAAGGGTGTGAGCTTTTAAGGATGTATGTTCTGTTAATAACCTATTTGTTATTAATTACAGCACTGGCTGGACAACACAAAGAGCATCAAAAAGCAAGTAAAAAGTATGTTTTTTTTTCTTCACATAATAAAGTTATTTGGAAGGTGTGATGTTCACTTGCAAGATACTTGACCATTAAAAAAAAAGTATAGAAGCACCTGATCTTGCACTTGACTGTTTTAACAATTGCTTTCTATAGGGGAAAGAATTAAGATTGAGGGCCTCAGATCTGAAGGTCCTGGTGATTTGTGTGAAGTAATTAACTGTGAAGGAGTCTTGCGTCTAACCAGGCTCTGAGGTGGTTTATAGATAACTGTGCCTTTAATGAAACGATTGCTTTGAGTAATCTACTGCAAAATACCTTAACAAAACCTTATTGAGGTCCAGTTAGGTTGTTTAATTGTTGACTGACTACTGGGGTTATAACATAAACCACAGGACTCTAGGCCCAAGAACCGGGTCCGAGACTCCTGTAACAGAACATCAAGACAGTACATCAGTTCAGAGACAGACAGACAGTGGATTAAAGTATTGTGGAACTTGAGCAATGTCCCTGGATAGCTCTTTCCATTCTGCAGTATCACTAGAGTCAGTCTCTCTCCCTTTTTTTTAACCGAAAACAGTGTTCAACTGTTGTGACAAAAACTGAAGCAATGTCAACGTTTTGGCCGTCTCATGGCCCGGTTCGGGTGGCGGTCTCGTGGCCCAGTTCTAGTTCGGCTCATTTGTTAGCAGCCTAAGGGGTGTGTGTGTAAACGGAGTACAGTATGTCATGCCTCGCTCAAGAGTGTTCCTTTACGTGATGACCAACTCATTCAGTGATACTTGGAAAAGAGTGAACGCTTAGTGTAGCTCCTGTGGTTCAGGCCTTATCAGCTCTGCCCCTGTGTGTACCTCTCTCGTGGTGCCGCATGACTGAGCTGTGCTCTGTCTTGCAGTCGGCCCTCCCTACTGCCTCCACCTGCGCGTGAAGTTCTACTCTTCAGAGCCCAACAACCTGCACGAGGAGCTGACCAGGTGAGTCTGTGCAGCTGTCGGTGTCTGATTTTATTACTATTTTTGTAATAAAATTGTTTTTAAATCTGGCTTCGGTAAGGTGTGAGAGTAATGTGCCGATGGGGAGGTAGATTTAGCCTTTGGCACGCATGAGAGCTCGAAGGCGTCTTTGATTGGCCATCTTCAACTGGGAGAACTGTCCACCTGCCTTACCACCCTGTCCGCTTTCTCTTCAGCTCCTAGCTCTCAGAAATGATCTGAAATCTCGGCAGGGCTCTGTGGAGGTGTAGAGTCCAGGAGCACTCCAGTAAATCTCTCGCTCGTGATGTCATGAGTGATTCGGAGCTGGGCACCCAAGTGGTCTTCACCTCGTGTAGTTTTACTTCTCACTAGATTCTGCTTTTCCTTTCGTTGCTTAACTGCTGAAAGGTGGTGAATCTTGTGAGTTCTTGTAAGGCTGTTATGAGCTTCAGTTCTTGGAGACGGTGTTGCTGTTTTGAGACTTTTTTGGAGAAGAGCAGCAGATCTTGTCTTCAGTGTGCAGCCAGCTTTCCTTCCCCCTGACAGTCTACTCCCCTGCTTCTTATCTTGCTTTAGCTCTCCACTCCTTTATCTGGGAAGTGAAATTCCATTTCTTCCAAATATGCTCTAAGCCTGAAACGTGAGAAGGCATTCTGTGCTCGAGTGTGATTGTTTAAGAGTATGTGCATCAGTCTTCACTGTAATTCCAGTAGTGCCTGCAACAGAGTGTAGCTTTTGGGCAAACTACAGTTCACACAATAGGAGTATTTTAAGAGGGATTGAATGTCAAAAGCCTTTGTTTACAAGCTTGTCAGTCAGAGCGCTAAGTGAATCATTCTTTCCTGAAGTTTTGACGTTCAACAAATGGCGCCATCTTGACTAAAAATATGATCGTGTCTGTTCGGTTAAGTTTCTTCGTGTTAAGACTGCGGCATATAAGGTATTGCAGGCAGTTCATAGTTAAAAGTTCCCCACTTCCCATTTGCATGACTGCCTGTAGCCCCGAACCAGCAGATAATGCAGTTTCAGTGCGTTGGACAGGTGCCACGTTGTACCACAACACAGCCTCCGTTTTGAAAAAACCTGTGAGTTTTTCAACTCGTGCATTGTCTTTGCAGGTACCTGTTTGTTTTGCAGCTGAAGCAAGACATCTACAGTGGAAAGTAAGTATAATGTATACTTACTTAAGTATACATGCCTTTTCAAGTATTAAGCCAGGCAGGCGCAGTGTTTCTTATCTTCTTTAAAAGCAGTGGTTTCTTCAGCATTCTCTCAGCACTTTATTCTCTTCACCACTGCTCCTTCGATTTATGAGCCAGTCCGTTTTCACTTTTTTGAAAGGATTTGTGCTTCCTGTTATTGAGATACTTACATTTTCTCGTGACATGCGTCTTTGTTGTTTTTCTTCATATTTACTTTTGTTGGTTTGGTATACGGCTCACATGCTGATAGCGATCCGGAATTGTATTTTTTTGGGCTTGAATGATTAACAGCTTGATTAACAGAAAAAAAATGCCAAGAGTTCAGTGAGAATTTTGCAGCTGTCTCTCCCGGGGGGGGCAGCCCTGGGTTTTTCTCAGGTAAAACTGGGACAGTTCATGGCACAGGCCTAGGTTTTGGAAACAAGGATTTGTTTCTGCTGAACAGAAACGCACATGATAGAAGAAGGCCACGAGGCTGCCTGGTGTGCTGCGAGGCGCGGGGTCTGTGCTCGGGCCCTGTGTTCCGCTCTGGGTGCGCAGCAAGTAGCAGGTGTGGTTCTGGATCTGGGTGCTAACCAGGGCCTTGTGTCCCGTGTGACTGCAGGTTGGAATGCCCCTTCGACACCGTTGTGCAGCTGGCCGCCTTCGCCTTGCAAGGTAAGCCTCCCGCTCGGCGCCGGGCTCGGTAATCCCTCTCGGCGCTGGAAAGGCCGTGGCGGGGGGGGGTGCTTGGGAACTCCCCTGCTGCGCCGCGCCGCCCGGCCCTGCCGGAGAACAGGGGGCGGATCCTGCACAAGCCGCTCGGAGCCCCTCGGCTGCAGGAAAGCCCGCTGACCGGTCCGCGGTTACCCTGGGGACGAACGGCCAGTCAGTTGTGGATTGGGATACCTGGGAGTGTGCGGGGACAGTACCGCCAGACAGCGGAGGGAAGATTTCTGCCGCAGGCGCTCGCAGGACTTGTGAGAGCAGCTCCTGATCGGCAGACACCTCCTGTGCCTCCTCCTCCTGGAACTCCTCTGTAACGTGTGAGCTCGTTACTGCAGGGCCTCCGGCGGCCCTCTAATCCCTCCTGGTCTCCCGGGGAGTTCTTCTAGGAGCCTTCTGGATTTGGCTTCTTGCCTTCAGGCAGTTTCCCTTTCTGGTACAGCAAACCACTTCTGATTTATGAAGTTTCAAGGCGGGAATATTTAATCCTGTTAGTGCTTAAAATAGATGTTTTCTCTCTGTAACCCAGAGAGCTCTGGCACAATCTTTCAATTCTCATAGTCTGTTCCAAACTGCGTGCAGTACAGTTTTCTACATGCTGTCATCTTTGATCGAACAACAAAACCTTTTACTTTTGTTAAAAAAAACAACGGGCGTTTGAGCCATGATGCTCAAATTCTAGTGCCCAGGAGAAATCGGTCCAGTACAGTTGGCCTTCATTAGAATGGTATGTTAGCAGCTTGGCCATGTCCAGATAATCCCCAGGCAGGATTTGATCTGCTGAACAGAGGCGAGCCTGATCTTCTTAGCCACCGCAACCCCGGACATGTTTCCACTGTCTCTCCCTCCAGTTCACCGTATCACATCGCTTTTATTCTTCTGGTGGCACAGCTGAAACCAAATCTGGTTGGGAAGTCTTTACAGAAGATAAAAAAGGGCGCTTCTGACATTGTCAAGATAAACATGTAAATGTTTGCCTGTGGTCGCTGCAGAAACGAGAGACACTTTTATCTGAAGTTAATAAATTGGGAAATTTTGCCTTGACCTGTGTTTGACTTGCTGTCGCAACCCACCTTCTTCTCATACCAAGGCTGTTGATAAGAGCCGCCTGAGGAAGACCAGGGCAGCTGTCTCGCGCTGTAGGAGAGGGAGCAGCTTTGTGCTCTTGAGAGCATTTGTTTTTCATTCCCCCCCCCCCCGCCAACTTCCCACCTTCCCCCCTTAATAGTTTGACCCCAAGATCCTGTGGAAGGCAGCTTTCAGCTTTCTGAGAGCTGGTTGACTTAGACGTGCGCAGAGGAAGTGAACTTCATAGAGTTGTAGCGTTGTGGGGAGGGGAGCTCTGAATGGAATTTCAGTGCTCTGTGTAAAGAAGCTGAAATACAGCTCGCTCATTTCAGGCAGTTTTTTGAGCCTTTATTCTCTCAGTGTGTAGCCCTGCCCTGTTTCCCTTCACGAGTGTGGGGAAGCCGGGCGCGCGCAGCTCTGGGCAGGGTCTTCCCAGCAGCGCCCTGTGTCTGACACGCAGGCCCACAGAGGGGCTCCAGCTCGGCAGTCCTGACTGCTGCCGCCGCGTTACCGAGACCAGTTCAGTCACAGTTCTGGACTTTGATTGCTCGTTTAATCACATGGCTGTGTACTTTGAAGGTAGGCTGTGTGCAGCCCTGCTTGTGACAGACATTGTATTTTTAGACCTGATAGAAGGGAGCACTTGAATCGAGAGTGTTCCCTCCCTCTTGTTGGCTTCATTTAGTTTTATTCCACCAGGTACGAAGTCATTAGTGCTGTGTTGTGAGGCATGGAGGAAATTCATCGCATGCAGTATTTGGTCTTTAATTTGTTTTCTAATGGCTCTTGTGCGATGAGAAGCTCTCCTGAGTCATGAGGGATTGAGGGTATGGGACAGAGAATAGGTATAGTGAATTTATAATTGAAAAGGAAAAATCACTACAGCAAAAAACCATGACGGCATTTTGCCAAACAGCCCAGTTCACAAAAAGATCATTTATTTTGCAAAAATGGGCTTAGGGCTGAGACTTTTAAAAGGATTCGGGGCTGTTAAAGCAAAACACCTGTCCTTTCTGAAATGTGAAATAGTGTGCGAGCTCTGTGCCTGTCTAGTGTGGACGCACACGCCTTGCCGGGTCTTATTAAGGGGCCAGCGTTTGCACTGTGTGGGTTAGAGCCTGCGCTGCTGGTGTATCTGAACCTGCCTCTGAGCTGGACTCACTGACTGACGCCCTGTCCGATGCTGCACCTTTCAGCCGAGCTGGGCGACTGCGACCCTGCGGAGCACCCGCAGGAGCTGGTGTCCGAGTTCCGGTTCCTGCCCGAGCAGACGGAGGACATGGAGCTGGCCATCTACGACAAGTGGAAGGAGTGCAGGTGAAGTCGCTCCGCCTGAAGCACGTCAACACGCCCCTCCTGTCCTGTGCACCTCCCATTTGTCTTGGCCCTGAAATTCGGCCTGTGTGGGTCCTGGTGCCCCGGTAGAGGGATGGGGACACTACACTGTAAAAAAAGGGCTGTTCGGATGAGACGTAAGGGCGAGGTCCTGACTCTCTGTGGTCATTAAAAATCCCAGGGTGTTTCTTGAAAAGAGTAGGGGTGTTACCCCGGTGTCCAGGCCAAATTTCCCCCTGGCCTTTATTCATTATGGCCTCCTAATAATCCCTATCTCTGAACTGGCTTAATCTCTCTGCTTGCCTCCACACTGAGAGCTGGTGTATGGGGAGCGTACTGGTGCATCATCCAGGTGGGGCTGCACACTGGTGGTGGTGGAGGGGATCCCCATTACCTATAAAGCGCTTTAAGTGGAGTGTCCAGAAAAGAGCTATATAAGAAAAGCGCTATATTATAATTATTATAATTGTAGATGTGATGTGAGAGACAGGCTCTTATTCCTCTGTGAGTTATGAACAACATCCTCAGTAGGTTAGGAGGCTGAACTGTCAGGTGTGCTGCTATGGTATGACAAGTTAGGAAGCTGCCATTATTAACTTTTTATTAGAAATGGTAACATAAATGAAAATGTCACAGACATGGCACTAGGAGCAGTGTGCAAATCGATGACGGAGGGTACATCTTAGCCTCTCAGATTGAACTTTGTGAGAGTAGGTTTCCCGGAAGAAACAGAACATTTCTGGAAGTGTCTCGGGCGAGCTGCGATTGCTAATGACCAGACTGGAATGTGCAGACTCATTTTCTGCAAGAGAGACTGTAAAAGTTTGTAAAGAGGAGCAATTTATCCAAACCGTTCTGGAGCAGCTTTCTTACATGTTAGAATACATGTGTGATGTTCTGTTTCCGCAGTCATTTGCGGGTGAATGACCAGTATGCATTTTTTGCGTATTCGTGAGGCTGGATGTTAAAAGGGATGCAGAAGGCTTGTAGCATCATCCTGCTCGCCTGTGTTGTTTTCAGAGGCCAGATGCCTGCACAAGCGGAGATAAACTACCTGAACAAAGCCAAGTGGCTGGAGATGTATGGTGTGGACATGCATATGGTGAAGGTGAGCAAAGAATACCTTTCCCTTCTCAAATCTCTTTGTTAAAGACAGAAAAAACAGCACTTCCCTTCCACTGGTGAGATTGAAGTGAGTGGTCAGCTATGATTAACAATAAATAGAAATCTATTAAGAAGGTATTTAGAATGTGCATTTTTATGTTGTGACTTTGAAACCATGGAGTGTATGTGATGAATGGGGTTTTATTTTAAGCATATTCTAGTTATAGATTGTTTCATTATACCGGATACCTCTATGCAAAGGTACTGTATGTGTAGTGGTAAAGTATTCACCCCATTGCTACCATATTGTAATAGATGAGCTATTTTTCCATGTGTCAGACATTGGCGTGTGAGTTACAGGCATGGACCTCTTGAGACTATAGTGACTTCTGCTTTCTCCCTGCAGGCCAGGGATGGGAATGAGTACAGCCTGGGGCTGACACCTACGGGAGTGTTGGTGTTTGAGGGAGACACCAAGATCGGCCTCTTCTTCTGGTGAGAACAGCTGTGCTCGGCTAGTGATGTCTGGAAACAAACATGTATTGACATGTGTAGCTGTCCTTTTATTTTAATGTTTTGATGCTGTGAAAGTGCTCCCAATAATTAAAAGCAATCGCAGATGCTTTGTTTGCTTTTAAAAAAAACAGATTTGCAGCTGGACTTGCCAGTGCTTCTTGACAGCCCCAGTAGTTCCTACTGGTACATTCAGAAAATTAGCTACTTTGCTGTTGTTTACTGGTTCCTGTATTGTTTCATCAGCAAGTCTTGGCAAGCCCAGCACGCAGCGAGGAGATTGCTGTGTTATCATAGCTCTTTAAGAGTAATGTCGCAAAGTGCAGCGGTCCTGTTTCTCAGCATGTTCCCTTGCCGCTTGCTTTGTGCAGGCCTAAGATAACCAGGCTGGACTTCAGGAAGAGCAAGCTCACTCTCGTCGTCGTGGAGGACGACGAACAGGTAAAGCACTCTGCCCTTCCCTCCTCGCCGCAGGGTCGCCAGTGCCAGGGGTGGCCCTGGTACCGCAGCTCGTCAGCCGCACGCTCTTAACGATCATCGTTGCTGTTCCGCCTTGCCCCGCGGTCGGTGAGCGGCTCAGCCAGGGCTTCCTGGGCTCGCGCAACAATCGGTCGCGCTTTGCCACGCTCCGCGGGCGGGCATTTCACCCGCTGTGCCATCGCCGGTCTTCGGCAGCGGTCAGCGCCGTTGATGTCCCGTCCTCCGGAGTCGTGCTCCCCTCCCGGGATCCTTACCCAGACCCCTCTGACTCTCGGATCCCCTCGCTCACGACAGTCTAACATTCTCGCTCGCTGATGTGGAAATTCATGGCCGAGGAATGTCCGTTCAAAACATTACATAAGTGGCAATGGGGACGCGAACTGTGATCCGCGCTGCCAGTAAGTGGTCAGATTAGCAAATCATTCGCCCTGCAGTCCTCCACGAGACAAGGAGATCTTTTCACGTGGTTTTTAAACTGGAAAATGACCAAGCCAAGTGCAGATCTGCACCCAGTAAATTAAAGGGGCACCTTATAAACTTCAACCCTCTTCACTGCCTTCCCCAGCAGGCCCCGTGTGCTCTGTGTGAGTGATGGCAGAGCCGGCTGGCTGCTGTCCAGCCTGAGTTAATAAAACACCTCCCACTATCCCTGAGGCATTCCTGGTATCCCGAGCACAGCACTTAACAGTTTATAAAACGAGAGCTGCTAACTGCTAAAGAGAGGTATAAATTACTCTAAAGACTCTGCACAGCGGTGGAGAGGGGAGCTAATTGTCAGCCCAACTACCATCTCTGCATCTGCGTCATGTTTAGATTTTTCTCAATAAAAGGCATTTTTTGATTAAAAAGTTTTTATTCGGCGTCCTGTTAATCCTTTGCTCACATTCTTGAAAGTTGTAAATCATATTTATGCTGTCACTGTTACTTTTTGTGTGTGGAAATGTACAGTTTAATGGGCATTTTTGTTCTTGCGGATGCCCTGGCTAGAACTGTTTTCTGAAGCAGTTCAAAATGTGAATTGGGGAGTTTTATTTATTTAAAATCATTTTTTTGTGTGTGTGACAAACCAATTTTAAATTGATTTACCTATTTTGTACCTCAGCGAGTTTGGACGCGTGCAGCAGTAGTTTCGCTGCCAGCCATTCCCAGGGTGAACTGGTTTCTGCAGGAGAACACTGAGTCATGTTTTGCCAGTTTAGCTGTCAACAGCAGCACAAGACTGCGCTTGCTTTAAAAATTACAACAGTTTCGTTTTGTGGCGACAGTGTTAAGTATTACCTAAAGGTATGGTGAAGGTGTGAGGTCAGGTGCGTCCGTCTCTTATAGGAGCTCTGAAGGAACAGCAAGAATTGTAGCCTCCGCTTACAGTGCAGCAAGTGAAATAGATACTAATGGAGTTTTTCCAAGCTTGGTTGGTTCTCTGTCTTAAACTTGTAAGGGATTTAAAGTGCTCATCGTGCAGTGTACCCAGTTGTGTTGTAAATTCATCTGGAGCGTATCTGGCGTTTGCAGAAGCAGAAGGCGTTTGTCTCTGGGGAGAACCATGCTGGAACGCTGGAAATGTCTCTTGCGTTCTCGGATTGCAGGGCAAGGAGCAGGAGCACACGTTTGTCTTCCGCATGGACCATCCCAAGGCCTGCAAGCACCTGTGGAAGTGTGCGGTGGAGCACCACGCCTTCTTCCGGCTGCGGGGCCCGGTCCAGAAGGGCTCTGCGCGCTCCGGGTTCATCCGCATGGGCTCCCGCTTCAGAT